AGGCGATCTTTCTTACAAGGAGACTTTTAGGCGCCTACGAGATTTGGTCATGTGGTATAGGTCATTCGTTTGAGCTTGAAATCATGAGCAAACCCGATTTTTGAAAAAGCTGAGTTATTTACAAAGCAAGGTAACTATGACTTCTACGCACTGCCATATACCTAGAAGAAGGGCCCGGGTTCAATACCAATTCATTTTAGAAAACGTATGGTTTTTTCTTTTGTTTTGCAATCGTCCAAGTGCGGTCTAAAGATACGAATCCCTACTGCCTTTCCTTTCCAGACAATTTGATTCTGGGGAGCGTTTATTAAAATCCCATTTTCGATGCGGTCGATATCTATGGTCAGGCTGGAATCAGTCTTGAGACCTAGGCTGGGGCATTTACAGGTTGACGCGCAAGTCCATTAGGTCGAAAACTGCGAAAAACGCCTCCATACAAATGTTTGATAGCCTCGATGGCTGTTGTCCTGCTAGTGAGAGCTTTTGAGAAGTACTCACTTGGTGCCGGACGGGAAGCTGCCGCGCTTGTTGCTGCACTTGCGGCTGGACTTGTTGCTGCGCTTGTTGCTGCGCTTGTTGCTGCGGGCGGGGTGGGGCGTTGTCTGGTGGTACCTATAATCCCAAATGTTTTGAAAAGGGGTGACGGCCATTTCGCCTCATCAGGAAGGTCTTTCCACTCGCCATCGAGTCTCATAACGTTAGATCTGTTTTTCGGCGCGCCTTGGCGAGCTGATTACGAATCTGTAAAAGCATCAATGGAAGCTCCATATGGGGAAAAGTTGTGTGGCTACAAACCCGGAAAATGCTCAAAAATGGTCCCTTGAATGCCTGCACCAATTCGAGAATCAAAATTTAGAAAAAAGTTAGTGCGTCTTTTTCAGCAAAAATGCTCTTTCGATGACTGGGAAACATTAGGTTTATGAGGATTTTGACAAAGCCTCTCCTACCATACCTTTCCAATCAAACTCCCCTTGCACAAAACGGAAGACAAATTTTTTTTACAAAATTGTCGTAAACCTTGCAACTCATTCAAAAGAGCATTTCTGTTGAACAAGATGCAATATCTAACTTTTCCTAAATTTTGATTCTCGGATGCGTACAGGCCTTTAAAGGGAGCATTTTTGAGCCTTTTACCAATTTTGATGCCTCATAACTTTTCCCATATGGAGCTCCCGTTGATTCTTTTACAGAGGCGCATCGAAAGACATATCTGACGTTATGAAATTCGGTGCTTCCAGGTTATCGGGGGTCGGTTATTTTAGCGGGGGTCGGTCGCGAACTTTTTTCTATAATATCGTGCGGCTCGGCTAACTAAAATCTGGCCGTTTTTATAGACTTGTGTGCCGTTTGAAATGGTTCTGGACTGAAAGCGGGGGAGGAGACATTAAGAAAAACGTCATAAAACCTGTAGAAAATTTTTTTCTTTTTCGGTCTAACCTATATGAAAATGGCTAAAACCGCGCTATAACCCTAGATTTCGTGACTATAGGCTAAAAATTTTTATAATTTTTGATTACCGGAAGCTACTAAAAACAGTATTCATAATAAACTACAATTTATCACTAGGCAGCAGGGCCGTAACAAACCCAAATTTCGGGGGGGGGCGACCCCAAAAATTTTTCACCAATATGACTAAAATTACAGCGCCGCAGGCAAAATTTTTGAAAACATAGGGTTTATAACACTAAAACTCGTGTTAAAAATAGCCAAAAACAGCGCCGCAGGCAAAAAATTTTTTGGAAAAATTAAATCATAAGGGAAAAATAATCATTAAAAAACCCTTATGTACTTTTCGGCCTTCGGCCGATTTCGGGGGGGGGCGGCTCGCCCCCTCGCCCCCTCTTTCGGGCCTACTAGGCAGGTATAGGCTAAACAAAAAGAAGATGCCAACCGTCCCCCGCTAAAATAACCGACCCCCGATAACCTGGAAGCACCTGAAATTCGATGCCGAGTTGAAAGACTTCCCTAGTAAACCCACGTCGCCTAAACCCGTTTCGCCTAAGCCCATATCGCCTAAATTATTGATCATATATTCACTGCAGCACCTTTGACCAAAAACGCCATCTTTCCAAATTCACATAGGCTTTTTATTATTTTATCACATAGTTCTAGAAATTGTTTGTAAAAATCACGTTTTGAAGCTGATTGCATGGCTTTCGTTGAAGAATTTCCAGAAATACCTTTAAAAGCCTACAAAGCAATCACAAAAATTTCGTGATCAAACCTTTTGGTCAAAAATTCGGCTATGAAAATGACCAAAAATTTAGGCACAATGGGTTTAGGTGAGTTAGGTCTTAGGAGGATTTAGACGACGTGATCGGAACTCATTGAAAAGCCCTTCCAATGAAGGCATCACCTGAGGAGCCAGAATCGCTTCATCAGCGTGTCCCTGGGCTGGTGTCAGGGGGGAACGGGGTGGGAACAGCTGAAAAAATAAATCTGAATAAAATACGTGTAATGAGCAAACACGCTACTCATTTAACGTATTTTCTCTAATATACGGGGCGTGCAAATAAACACCCCGCAGGCATTGCGCCGTGTTACACCTAATCGATTCCGAAATCGGACCAGAGGGGTCTCAGAGCCTAAATAACCACAATCCTTGGTATAGCCCGACCGCTACAGCGGTTCACGATTTATAGCCAAAATATTGTTTTCAATGCGATTTTCAACAGTGGTTTCGGCTATCTTTTTGAACTTTTCATCGATTCGCATCGGCTTCCGGCTCGAAATTCCTCATTTCGCTTAGGGTCCGAGTGGATTTTTGCTTGTAAACAACCATTTCATAAACCTCTATTTAGCTTAAAGGGATACCCAACCTTTTCGGCACCTCAAAAAGCAAAAACCATGACGCGGGCGGGGGTCGAACCCGGGCCCCCGCTTTCAAGACCTGGATGCTAGCCATTAGGCCATAGTGGCAAGCCATTGGTCGAGATGGGGGCGCCACAAGGGGGAGAGGAGGCCGAATTCGGTGCGGCAATGGGCATCCATTACCGCACAAAATTCGCGCGTCATTTGTACTGCCCGGAATACATAACTATATATCAGGTTGGTAGATAAGTCCTGTCACAATTTTTTGAAAGCGCCCTAGAAAGCCGCAGAAACGTCGGATTTTCACTTTCGATCCATGATTTGATAGATCTTGGGACGCGCTACTTGGGCAAAACCCGATTTGTGCCCACAGTGGCTCGCTGTCGAGTTGCAGCTCCGGGAAGTTTTTGATAAAATCTTGAGAAAGCTATTTAGCGTACTATCTCTGCATAGAGAAATTTGCATGCGATACATTCAACACCAATCGATAGCACTCGAGGAGTAGATATCGATAGATGTTGAGATCATCCAAATTGGACACCGGATGGCCGAGATCCGACTCCTTGAAATTTGGTCCATTTCTTAGAACTTTTTCCGAATTCCCATACATTTAGACAAAACCTTCTCCGCGCGCTCAAAAACCAACTGGCAAGATTTGTGGAGATGCGCAAAATGTATGGGAATTCGGAAAAAGTTCTAAGAAATGGACCAAATTTCAAGGGGTCGTATCTCGGCCATCCGGTGTCCAATTTTGACGATCTAAACATTTATCGATATCTACTCCTCGAGAGCTATCGATTGGTGTTAAAGGTATCGCATGCAAATTTCTCCTTGCAGAGATAGCACGATAAAAAGCTTTTTCAAAATTTTATGAAAAACTTCCCGGTGCTGTAACTCGGCGTCCTGCAACTTTTCGTCCTTGTGCGGCAGCTCCCATTATAGAACAGCCCCAAGGCCTATCAAATCAGGTATCAAACGTTAAAATCGGCCATGTCTGCGGCGATATAGATAGATTTAAAAAATTTGTGACAGGACTTATCTACCAACCTGATATTCCGCCAAAACATTGGGTATCCCTTTAAGGCGTGTCAATATAGGGTTGTCAGAAAGAATTCTAGGGCTAAAGAAGCCTTCCTGCATCATTTTCACTTAATATTAGAAGGGCGATTCCAAGGAAAACTTTTTCAAAAGCGCATTCTAAAGTTTACTTTCGTTTCTCACCAATTACTGTGTGGGCTATGACTAAGGATTGTGGTTATTTAGGGTCTGATACACCTCTGATCCAATTTTGGGATCGATCGGATGTAATACTTCCAAAGACCGGAGGGTGTTTTTTTGGGGACACCCTATATGCCCCGAAACTCTATTTCTTTTGTTTCATCTATCAACCCTAAGGGGGATTATAGCATAATTCCCGGCCTCTTTTATTTCTCGCTTTTTTGGTAGAAATTGAACTTTTTTTGCAGCGAACGCTCTAAATCCAAGTTGAAGTACCAATAGAATCAGCAAAAAGCGATAAAAGCCTCTATAATTACATTGAGACCGTATTTAAGCGAAATAACCGGCTGGTGATTTGCGCATAATTTCCGAGGGGAATTTGGTTCGGAAGTAGTGATGAAAATGCAAACGTTCGTTACCTCATGTCGTGGCGGCGGCGTTATTGGCGGGACACGATCCTGAAAACATGTTCAGATGGGTCATATTGTCGAAATTCATGATCTAAAAATTTCATGGCGCCTACATCTCCTCACGCTCCATTTTGCATCAGCCAGGATCCCCGGGAATTCCCCCAAATAAAAAGCCCAACAATCGTGGCCGTAAGATCAAAGATACACTAGTGCAACATAAGGGTATTTGCTATTTATGCAACGGTTTTCTATTTTGAAAGAAGGCGAGACCACAATTTTCCGTTGCAAAAAAGCGTGTAATTGGGCCGAAAAGCAGGTATCCGGCCAAATATTTTCAGACGGGAACGAATTTTCGCAAGGTCTTGGAAAGCCGGGCCTAACTAGTCGTGGTTTTCCCCCGAGTACCTCAAATCCCTTACTTTTCACCTCAAAACCCGAAGATGGCTGATTTATGCAAAACTCGTTGTTTTGCCCGTCGACTCTAGTGCTTTTGAAGCTTGGAAAAAACAATTCCCATCCGGATTGCCCTCGAACCGTTGCAGAAAAAGGAAAGAATTCTTATTCAAGCTCCTGATGTACGGTACCAACCCTCCACGCCCGCGTCCGGTATCCATCGGCGAGCTGCGCCTCGTGGCTATCGATCTGAAGGATAACAGGCATTATCCTACTATACATAAAAGATGATACTTAACTTAACTTGCTTTAACATGCTAACGACGTAAAACAATTTTTATTTAGAAGCGGATGCTAACCTGCAGTTGGAGATTCTGTAGAGTTCCGGGAAGCTGTTCGTGCGTTTCCAGCTGCTTCTCGAGCTGAATGAGTTCAATATTGGAATCGTTACCCATCAATAACGCTTTGGATACTGGATTGCTAGCCCGGAGGGGGGCGCGGGAGGGGTTGCTTTGCAGCGAGAGGCCTTTTCCCAGCTGTACGACGAAGTGTTAGACAGCACCCCGGGGACGTTTGCTACGTTTTTGTTAGACATTTTGACGACGCCATCGGATAGAGCGCCGAAAATTATACTAAGAGACCAGCGCCCAAAGCCCGTTTCGCGGGCCTTGGGCGCTGGAATGCGGCCTTTGCATGAAAAGTTTGGCTTTCTGATAGCTCGGGTCATGCGGACCCCTCCACCCCCCGACCACACGCGCGAGTGCAACCGGCAAGAATGAGGAAATTTGTATTTTTTTCACATTATGCAAATCAGTCCTCAGGTACCCACAAAAATTAATAAAACCGGCTTTAACTTTGTAAACTTGTATTCTATCGGAATTCTGAGAACGCCATCGGAAAGAGGAGGGTCAATTACCGCCATTGACGGCGAATTAGCGCATTTTATACACGGGAAGGCCCTGGAATCGGGCCTTGAAAGTGACACCTATACACACACCTACAGACACGCCAAAATTATACAAGGTAGGACCTTAAATGTTGGCGGTGCGTTGCCAAAAAAGAGGATTCCAATGCTACCCACCAGTGTGATAGCGTATCCGAGTTCTATCTTCTGGGCTGAATGGTGTTCCTCCAGTCGACGCATCACGGCCCTGGCCCCTTCGAGGTTCTCGCGGGCGAGCTGAAAGTCGCGTTGATAAAATGGCCTGCACACAAAATCCCAAACATTTTTCAAAAATTCTAAAAATAATCTCCGGTAGGGAACTTTTGCGACATCCAGGATAAATGGGGATCAAAATTTTGCCATAACCTTTTTTTATTCATCATATTCATCATATTTTTTAACATCGTTTTAAAAGACGCGGGAAGGCCCGGACAAATTCAGCATCAACCCGGTCCCAATTGCAAATTTAGCATAGAGCGTCTCTGCTCCCTCGCGTCAACCGTATTTTGCACTAGCATTTTCTTTCTTTAATCGAATGTAGTTTGAATATTTTTCAATATGGAAAAATTTTCGGTGGCGCGATTTTACCCAATGAAAATTGTAATCCTGATGAAATCAGATCGATTTGTTTTATTGCTATTTGTATGTTGTATGGGATCTAACTGATTCGAAGCCCGTAAACCCCGATGGGTTTAAATATTACATCAGTCATTCTAAATCTTCTTTTTGGTGTGGTTTTTTCCAAATCCTAATATGCTTCTACCAAACAATCAGCAGCGTGCCGCGGTTTCCGATCACCTAGGCTCGTCAAGCCCAACCTGGAGTTATTTTCGGTACTGTCCTATCCATTTAGACTATTAGCCGGGTTGAAAAGCCGCTTCGGCAAAACTCACTATTTTTCACACGCAAAATTTTCATTCATTTTTTTGGGCGTTAAAGCTAATTCCCCTATACGATTTTTTAGCATGCTATCGATTGGCGTTTCGGAAATACCAAAATCTTATAAAATTAACTTCTCCAGGTAACTCGGTTTTGACGAATTTTTCTGTTGAACCAGAAATTTCCGTTACAGTTCATTAAAGGAGACGTTTTTGGTGTGAATTGAATTTTCAGCCCACACCAGAATCTTAGTTTTGTGCAGAATTTTACGTTGTTTCCGAACCTGTTTACAGAAGCTGCAGTTGCGAGGCTAGCTAGCACCCGAAATGGCACACTTTGAATGGTCATGAAAATGCCAGAAAAATCTTTCCACATCATACTCCGGAAAAGATGCGCTTTCGAATGTGCTTTGGCACGTCAATTTCTCCGCATTTGACTCCAAAAGTCTTTTTAAACGTGTGGTGGTGGTCGACCAATCAAACAGCATCGATTTTCGAAGCTCTTTAGGAAATTAATATTTTTTAACTTCTTCAACATGACCATTTTGCAGTTTCTGTAAACTAACGAAAAATTCTCCACAAAATAGGATTGATGGGGACTGAAAATCGAATTCATACAAAAAACGTCTTTTTGTTAGTAAATTTATCTGGTAAACCGACGAGCACGCGTTCCTCGTCGGCAGTGTCGATTTCTTGAAGTGCCATCCGTCTGCCTTCGTGTGCAGCTGTGTGGATCAACTAAATTTTCAAGTGAAGCAGAAAAAAATTGGTTTCCCCCCCGTAATCCTGTCCCGACACCTGGGGATAAATGGGGTAAAGTCACTACCCCGAGAAGTCATTACCCCGAAAAGTCACTACCCCGAAAGTCGCTACGCCGAAAGTCACTACCCCGAAAAGTCACTACCCCGAAATAATTTGCATGATTTTCATAGGAAAACCGCATGAAAACTGGATTTTTCCGGGAACAACAAGGCTATCATTTTTCGGGGTAAACGATTTCGGGGTAGTGACATTTCGGGGTAATGACCGGACGCCCTCCTCCACGTTAGCCATCCTCAAGCTAATATAAAAATCTGTGCGATGTTCTGTTTGTTAGGCACCGGGGTTCTGGACCGTTAGCGGGGGAGTTTTAGCACGGGTGGCAACCACTTTATGTCTTCCACCTATATGTATCCTGTCTTTTATAGCCTTTTAGTAGTTTTTGATTGTTAGGAAGTTAAAGAAAATTTTTCAAAAATTCGTCAATTTTGATTATTTTTATATTGCTTTTAGATCTAAAAAACTATGTAAGCAGCGATGAAAAAAGATTTATTTAATTAAGATAATGTTTAAGTGTTCCGAAGACACAAGGAAAAGTTTGGTTTGAAGTTGATTTGAAGAGTTTGAAGCCTACGGGGTGACGAGGAGCTGGGGCCGCGATCACTGGCCGCTCGGCACCGCCAAGACGGCGACTCTGGGATGTCTTCATCGTCGGAGTAGCCGGTGTTTGGGTGGCTGAAGGCGAGGTTGGCGCCTTAAAGTTGCAGTAGCCTTGCAATGAACGTGCAAATATTGAAAACTGCAATAATGCCATAGGACCTTTCGAGAAAACAGGGCCGTTAGACCGAGCTACCGACGGCGCTCAAGCTTGCACGGCAGGGTTAGAAACGAAGCTAGCAGCTCAAGCTTGTACCTTAGGCTTTATGGCGAAGCTAGTCACTCAAGCTACAAGATGTTCAACTTTGCGCCACTTTTTTACAGACCGCATAAACGGGTCATGCTGTAATTGTTTGTACAAAAAGCAGCAGGCAGGCTAGGTTTGGGTCACGTTATTTGGAAAGCCCCCCAATTGATGTGCCGAGACGCGGGCCCAGCTGGGGAGAGTCGCGAAACAGCTCCTCTCCACGGGTTTCTGGGAGGCGCTGATGTGAAAGCGTGTGTCCTAAGGCTATTGCTTAGGTGGTTGGCTCGGTTGACGGGGGTGGCTATTGCTTGGTCATAGACCGGATGTCTATTTCGAAAATTTTTATGGTGAATCCGTATCTTCCAGGCGCCACACAAGAGTTAAAATCTTTCATAAAAAGTCATTCCAGGCCCTCAGAACTCAAATGGAAGCATTGGTGCCAAAAGGCAAAAAAAATAAAAAAACGTGAGCGGACCCGAACCCTAGAAAGATTCGCCATACCCCGCCAACTGTACCACAAGGCCACAAGACCATACAGGGTGTCCCAAAAAAATCCCCCCCCCCCCCCTAGCCGGCCGCAGACCTGTCGGATTTTTACGATTTAGGTATCCATCGAAAGCTCTCGGAAACAACAACAAGAAAGCGTGGAATTGCGTTTTGAACAAGAAAGTCTGTCCTTTTGGCTTGAAAAATGCCGAAAATGAGCAAAAAATTCCGACATTTGGCAAATCCGCAAGACGTGCTGGACTCGCCTTTCCGAGAGCTTTCGATATATACCTAAATCGTAAAAATCGGACACGTCTGCGGCCGGCTAGGGGGGGGGGGGATTTTTTGGGACACCCTGTAGTGATGGGCCAAGGGGGAGGGCTAATGAAGGCAGGGGGAAAGATCTGCAAAATGCAAAAACTCAAAAAATGCTACAGCTTTGATTGTTCTGGGTAACTTCTGTTAAAAATTAGATCAATCGATTCGTCTCGTCGAGCTCTGTGCAAATTTTCAAATCGAAATTCGATTGGAGCTGAGACCATCCCCTTACTAGGTGTGGTATATGATATCTCGTGCTACTTATTAGTGTCACCAGTTTCAACCTAGCTCGCGCCGATCAGCCTCTTTTTCTGCAAACAATTCCCTTTACGTGCCCTTTAACAATTACTAGATCGTCAGTTTTACCGGATCCGTTGAGCAGCACACGTAGATGAACGGCGACATCAGACAGAGCAAGATGGTCGCCAGGTAGCTGTAGAAGGCTAAAAACAAAATACGTGCATTAGGAGTGGATTACGAAGGTATTGATTTTGAAAATTAGGAACTGTCAGGCATTGTGACGTGACAAGTGAGAATGCCCAAATTTTCGAAGATGAATTCATGTCACCGAATGTGCCATTTCGACGACTGGCATTTTTCATAATGCCGCCTTTTCATAATGCTACTTTTTTTGGTCAACGGGAAGGACGCGGGAATATGATTTTTTTCTATGGGCCTCGGCTGCTCTATTCGGTAACGATCCGAAGTGTAGGCCATATTGCCTTGAAAAATTCGATCTTCGAGTCTAAGAACCTAAGATCTTGGTTAAAATATGTAAAGTTATTGTTCTCAGTTATAGTTGCAAACCATTCTCTGAATAAAAAAAATATGATAGATGAAAAATGCACTCTTTTGGTAACACCTCTCCCGATAAAAAAGCGGCACTGTGAAAAAGCGGAATTATTAAAAGGCGGCATTTTGAAAAGCGTCATGAAAAAGCCATAAATTGTTAGGCGGTACTACGGAAAACGAGATTATGATAGCAAATCGGCCCAGACAACATGTCATTTCGGCCACTCAAAAAAGCGTTTTTCAAGGAGGACATCTCCCACATCCATGTCAAAAATCAGCCCGAAAGGCAGTCTGAAACCCACTGTTATTCAGTGCAGGCGTATCCCATTGCTCTTCTCCTTCGACGCCTTCTAGTGTACTTGTAGTGTAGTCGTGCCGGGGAAGGTCTAAAACGTCGTTTTGTAAGCTTTTGAAGCGATCAGGAGTAGCGAAGCCTTTTTTTATTTTGAAGACTTATAAATGCGTTAAAAAGGCCGCGATGTGAAAGTGCTCTTTATTTTTCCCGATTTCCGGCCGAGGGTCGACATTTGCGGTCTTAAAAAAAGTTTTACGAGACCTTAGGAACTTTTCGCCGCTCAGAACCCGAAAGCTAAACTCTAGGAAGCTCCCCAGCCGGAGAGACCCCCGAGATAGTAGGCCTGACGGAGAGGCGCAGACGAAAAGAGGGCGCCGAGGCGCGGAATAGGCGGGCTGGGGGGGGGCTGGTTACGAGACGCTTACCAACTAAAAACCAGACACCCATCCCCCGCCTAACGCAAAACACCCACCGATGACGGGCTTCGGGCTTTGATGCTCGGTGGCCTCGATGGTTTCATCGAGCACGTTAGTCGTGTAGGAATCGAAATCACCTGAATATATCCGATCAAATCAACAATACAAAATGCCCCAAAAAATACCACCTCTAGCCGTCGGTAGGAGTCTCCGATCGGCATGATTTTTATACCATTCGAAAACTCGCGAAAAGGTGAGAAAACAAGCGGATTTCATTTTCTAAGATTGAATCTCATTCTAACGACACCCAACGTTTTTCGAAAAAGAAGGTAATGTTGGGGCCCGGAATAGGCGGGCTAGGGGCAGGTTGCGAGACGCTTTACCAACTAAAAACCAAACACCCCACCCCACGCCCCACCGATAACGCAAAACACCCACCAATCCCCTCAGCATCTAGATCCTGTGCGCACTCGTCGGTAACATTCACCACCGTATCCGTCTCGCTGTAAGATGACGCATCCACCGATGGGCGTGATGGCGGCGAGGTTGGCGCCTTAAAGTTGCAGTAGCTTTGCAATGAACGTGCAAATATTGAAAACTGCAATAATGCCATAGAACCTTTCGAGAAAACAGGGCCGTTAGACCAAGCTACCCACGACGCTCAAGCTTGCACGGCAGGGTTAGAAACGAAGCTAGCAGCTCAAGCTTGTACCTTAGGCTTTATGGCGAAGCTAGTCACTCAAGCTACAAGATGTTCAACTTTGCGCCACTTTTTTACAGACCGCATAAACGGGTCATGCTGTAATTGTTTGTACAAAAAGCAGCAGGCAGGCTAGGTTTGGGTCACGTTATTTGGAAAGCCCCCCAATTGATGTGCCGAGACGCGGGCCCAGCTGGGGAGAGTCGCGAAACAGCTCCTCTCCACGGGTTTCTGGGAGGCGCTGATGTGAAAGCGTGTGTCCTAAGGCTATTGCTTAGGTGGTTGGCTCGGTTGACGGGGGTGGCTATTGCTTGGTCATAGACCGGATGTCTATTTCGAAAATTTTTATGGTGAATCCGTATCTTCCAGGCGCCACACAAGAGTTAAAACCTTTCATAAAAAGTCATTCCAGGCCCTCAGAACTCAAATGGAAGCATTGGTGCCAAAAGGCAAAAAAAATAAAAAAACGTGAGCGGACCCGAACCCTAGAAAGATTCACCATACCCCGCCAACTACAGGGTGTCCCAAAAAAAACGACCCATCTGGCATTTCGCCGTGTTACATCCAATCGGTCCCAAATTTGGACCAGAGGTGTATCAGACCCTAAATAACAACAATCCTGAGTTATAGCCCTGTAGCAGTAGTAGTTCTCGAGTTATAGCGAAAACAAACTTTATTTTCCATTTTTCATAGGGTTTTCGTGGAATTAGACCCCCAAAACATTAAGCGAAAATGATCCGGTAGGCCTTCTTTACCCTAAGAAATTTTTTCCAGAGTAAAATTGATTAAATAAACTTTGATTTAAGCGATTTTTACAACGCAAAATTACGCAAGTTCTTAAGCGAAATTAGGGATTCACAGCCGGAAGTCGATGCAAATCGATGCAAAGTCCAAAAAGATAGCCGAAAAAATGCTTCAGAATTCCGGGAAAAACAGTATTTTCGTTATAACTCGAGAACGACTGTAGCTATGGGGCTATAAGTCAGGATTGTTGTTATTTAGGGTCTGATACACCTTTAGTCCAAATTTGGGACCGATTGAATGTAACACGGCGAAATGCCAGATGGGTCGTTTTTTTTGGGACACCCTGTATACCACAAGGCCACAAGACCATACAGGGTGTCCCAAAAAAATCCCCCCCCCCCCTAGCCGGCCGCAGACCTGTCGGATTTTTACGATTTAGGTATCCATCGAAAGCTCTCGGAAACAAGAACAAGAAAGCGTGGAATTGCGTTTTGAACAAGAAAGTCTGTCCTTTTGGCTTGAAAAATGCCGAAAATCGAGCAAAAAATCCGACATTTGGCAAATCCGCAAGACGTGCTGGACTCGCCTTTCCGAGAGCTTTCGATATATACCTAAATCGTAAAAATCGGACACGTCTGCGGCCGGCTAGGGGGGATTTTTTGGGACACCCTGTAGTGATGGGCCAAGGGGGAGGGCTAATGAAGGCAGGGGGAAAGATCTGCAAAATGCAAAAACTCAAAAATGCTACAGCTTTGATTGTTCTGGGTAACTTCTGTTAAAAATTAGATCAATCGATTCGTCTCGTCGAGCTCTGTGCAAATTTTCAAATCGAAATTCGATTGGAGCTGAGACCATCCCCTTACTAGGTGTGGTATATGATATCTCGTGCTACTTATTAGTGTCACCAGTTTCAACCTAGCTCGCGCCGATCAGCCTCTTTTTCTGCAAACAATTCCCTTTACGTGCCCTTTAACAATTACTAGATCGTCAGTTTTACCGGATCCGTTGAGCAGCACACGTAGATGAACGGCGACATCAGACAGAGCAAGATGGTCGCCAGGTAGCTGTAGAAGGCTAAAAACAAAATACGTGCATTAAGAGTGGATTACGAAGGTATTGATTTTGAAAATTAGGAACTGTCAGGCATTGTGACGTGACAAGTGAGAATGCCCAAATTTTCGAAGATGAATTCATGTCACCGAATGTGCCATTTCGACGACTGGCATTTTTCATAATGCCGCCTTTTCATAATGCCACTTTTTTGGTCAACGGGAAGGACGCGGGAATATGATTTTTTTCTATGGGCCTCGGCTGCTCTATTCGGTAACGATCCGAAGTGTAGGCCATATTGCCTTGAAAAATTCGATCTTCGAGTCTAAGAACCTAAGATCTTGGTTAAAATATGTAAAGTTATTGTTCTCAGTTATAGTTGCAAACCATTCTCTGAATAAAAAAAATATGATAGATGAAAAATGCACTCTTTTGGTAACACCTCTCCCGATAAAAAAGCGGCACTGTGAAAAAGCGGAATTATTAAAAGGCGGCATTTTGAAAAGCGTCATGAAAAAGCCATAAATTGTTAGGCGGTACTACGGAAAACGAGATTATGATAGCAAATCGGCCCAGACAACACGTCATTTCGGCCACTCAAAAAAGCGTTTTTCAAGGAGGACATCTCCCACATCCATGTCAAAAATCAGCCCGAATGGCAGTCTGAAACCCACTGTTATTCAGTGCAGGCGAATCCCATTGCTCTTCTCCTTCGACGCCTTCTAGTGTACTTGTAGTGTAGTCGTGCCGGGGAAGGTCTAAAACGTCGTTTTGTAAGCTTTTGAAGCGATCAGGAGTAGCGAAGCCTTTTTTTTATTTTGAAGACTTATAAATGCGTTAAAAAGGCCGCGATGTGAAAGTGCTCTTTATTTTTCCCGATTTCCGGCCGAGGGTCGACATTTGCGGTCTTAAAAAAAGTTTTACGAGACCTTAGGAACTTTTCGCCGCTCAGAACCCGAAAGCTAAACTCTAGGAAGCTCCCCAGCCGGAGAGACCCCCGAGATAGTAGGCCTGACGGAGAGGCGCAGACGAAAAGAGGGCGCCGAGGCGCGGAATAGGCGGGCTGGGGGGGGGCTGGTTACGAGACGCTTACCAACTAAAAACCAGACACCCATCCCCCGCCTAACGCAAAACACCCACCGATGACGGGCTTCGGGCTTTGATGCTCGGTGGCCTCGATGGTTTCATCGAGCACGGTAGTCGTGTACGAATCGAGATCACCTGAATATATCCGATCAAATCAACAATACAAAATGCCCCAAAAAATACCACCTCTAGCCGTCGGTAGGAGTCTCCGATCGGCATGATTTTATACCATTCGAAAACTCGCGAAAAGGTGAGAAAACAAGCGGATTTCCTTTTCTAAGATTTAATCTCATTCTAACGGCACCCAACGTTTTTCGAAAAAGGTAATTTTGCAATGGGAATTTCGCGATTCGCGCGCAGATTTCGCGTAATCAGCAGTTTTCCTTGTTTTTGGACGTTTGTTTCCAAGTTTCGCGACAAAAATATATAATAAAGGAGATGAGCCCGCTTGTTTGCTGGCCGTTTCGTTTCCTTTCAAGCCCGATTTCATGCCTGGCCTTTGCATGGGGATTTTTAAAAGGCGCGAGCGCGAGAAGATTCGAAATGAGCCTCCTAACGCCTCGCATGCAAATAAAGATATTTCCGCATGTTTTAAATACGCTAAAATAAGGTATAAACCGTCATATTATTCAAACCCCGATAATTTTTGCCCCCGACGCAGATTTTTGCCCCCGGCCAAATAGGACAGTACCGCAAACTGCCTTGTCTGAGAATATCTGATTTTTGGTTTCTTGAATATTTTTATCGATTGACCAGGGTTGAAAAGCCGCGGAGCGCCCTGGGCCCCGTCTAGGTCCGATCACAAAAAGGCTATGCATATTCTGCTCGAATCCCGCTGACGAAAATGGGAAATCGCCTCGGTGGCCTGATTTTATAGGCGATATCCACTTCCGGCGCATGCAAAATGCCTGACAAAGGCCCTTTCACAAAACCCTAAATTTAATGTCGAAAATGGTAAATTTTGAGAAAAATAAGTCGGCAGTCATCTTCATTCCATCACGCACCAAACGACATACCAAACTTGTTCGAAAACTTCTTCTCTGACCCGTTATGAGCGGAACATACATCCGGAAAGGATGCAAATCTACACCGACACACAAAGGCCATTTTTTTATATATAGTCAATTGATAGATGGTATAACTTTCGTAAAAAACATTGCTAAAAATTCAAATAATATGGACATCAAAATTTCAAGAATCTCTGCTCCTTCATCTCCTTCTTTTCACTAAAAAATTTTGTCGAAAAAATACACTTAGAAATGTCATCTTTAAGGAGATCTCGTGATTTTTAGAAAAAAGGACCTTTAGGAAAGATGACTTTTGGGAAAAATCGTCCTAGGTAAGATGACTTTAGGAAGGAGAACCAGGCCCATTTAACTCTCATATACACTCCCAGGACAAAAGATGCAGAAGACGCTGAATCATCCATTGAAACCCACCATCTCCGGCTCCAGGTACGCGAAATTTGGCACTTTGAAGCTTGCGCGCTGCCAGCGTGCTTTGCATCTAAAACCCGGCGTTCGTTCATAACTCAAGGACGCACATTTTCGAGCACTTCCGCATCTCGTTGTGTCATTGGGGCCAGGAGGTCGCCGACAAAGTGCACCTTAAAATTAGGTTGCGTTCGAGCAGCAGGAGGTGGACTTCCAAGTCACCGGGGAGGTTGTATTAGAGGGAGGGAAGTATTTCTCGTAATTTTGAGCAGCTACAACGCTTTTTAGTGGTTCAAACTGCTCACAAACAGTAAGGAACACAGTCGAAGCACAGACAGGAGGGTTTTAGACCGCGGCCCCGGCCGCGGCAAAAATCTGGCTTTTTTCCAAAAAAAAAACGTCCCTGAACGTGCCCTGGAAAATGATAAAATTTTTTTGAGGGGTTAGATTAGAGGGGGTGGGCGGGCTATATTAGAGGAAATACGGTATACGATATTTTAATAGTACAGTGCTCCACATAATCTTAGGTCCACCTTCAAAACTCGGGAAATAAAATTTTTCTACTTTACGCCAAAAAGTTAGTAATATTATCTTCTTGCTACTGGTATTTAAAATTTATGCCAAAAACGCCAATGCCGATCAACGGTTTGAGAAAATCAGTAGCTAGAAAAACATGAAAAACCCATTTTGGCGACTCCACATAATCTTAGGTCCACCCGACTTTACGAAAAAAACGCGTGGGCCCAGTGTGCTTAATTGAGGTCCTTTTGCTTAAAGCGCAGGTTCAGGGAGGAGCCGTGTACTCGTCCCAACGTGTACACCCTACGGTCAGGGTGATCGATTGGCTGATTGGTTAACGTCTCGCTTTCCAAGCAGGAGGCTGGGGTTCGAACCCCGCCGAGTCCAATTTTTTTGCTTTGACATAAATAGGTTCAGGAAGGGGTGAATATCATTGTCTGAACCGTCGCTACCCTTTTGAGTTCATTTCCGAGCAACATCAACCCCCACATTTAAAATTCCGAGAATCACAAAATTTAGAAATTCTGACTACTCGGGGAAGCCGACAAAAATTTCAAAAAAATTTTTTTGGCAAATCTCTATGTTTTGGCCCAGAGTAACAAGTATTATTTAGCCTATCCAATCTTTAAGGATTTTAGGCCCTTTCCAAACTTAGCGCTCCATTTCTAGCCCAGAACTAGTCGTTTTCAACATTGAAACGAGCATATCTCGACAACTAAAAAGCCTCGGCAAAAATGAGCTGCATATTCGGAATCAGCGGCAAAAAATTGCATCAGATGAACTGTCTCACTAACCAAAGCCGAACTTCGAGCTGATGGGGTTTGCTTGTTAGTGTTTTAATCTAAAATTCAAAGTCTTAGTACATTTTTTAGGTGTTCTACCGGGTCGCGATAATGTAGCCCTTCCAAAAAAACAGTCAAATATATTAAAAAATTTACAACTTTAACCCCCCCCCCCACGCTAACGAACCAAACCACCATTTTTCATCCACTTTCGCCCAGTACGCAACCATTTCTGGATCTGTTCAATGATGCTTTTATAAATTTCTCTATCACCGGGCCTAATTGAAACGGGGTACGAGTCTATAAATCCAACAAACATTATATTATTGGAGTTGCACTCGGCTAGAAAAAATTGGCTACCGCCCTCGCTAAAACAACCGCCCACCAATGACCTGGAAGCATCGGTTGGGGGTCAACATGGTACAATTCAAATAGGCGGGGGGGGGGAAAGATTTAGGCGGGGGGAAGATTTAGGCGGGGGGAAACCCACTTTTTTTTGTCGGCCCTGGTGGGGATAGTAATCAAATATAAAGTGTTTTCACATTGTTTTTAGCAAAATTTAAGCCTATCTGAATCGGAAAAGTTTTTTAAAAAGTTAGAAAAACGCTTGAAAAAGTCGACATTTTGGTCATTTTTGGGCCGAAAAAATTTATTCTTTGACCTAAAATTAAATTTTTTAATTAAGTTTTGTAAAGTTTTTATGTTTAGGAATAGCTATAAACAATTTAGAAACACTTCCACTATTTATATAAAAAATATAGGCTTGGGCGAAAAAAAGTTCGGTTCCCCCCCGCCGAAATCTTCCCCCGCCTATTTGAATTGTACCGTCAACATTCTTCGGAAAATCCCACTTTGCCGATGATGGTCGACAGATCGTTGAGGACAAGCGCACTCGGCTTGTCACATTCCAGCAGCTGTCTGTGTGCTGCCTTGGCAGCTTCACGTGGGCTCACCGGATTATCCTTAAAAAACGATTTTTTGACGGAGTGGCGGGGGGGGCGGATGAGGGTATAGTCCTTTCGGTGCAAGTCTAGATTTTTATAAACAAGGTATCTCAAAAAAAGTTCCCCCCGAAACATTTAAGCCATAGCGCTTTGACCGGGCCGAAAACCTGCACACCTGTAGCCAAGCCAATTACCCTTGTCTATAGCAAGTTTCAGCTGGTCCGCTAGTTGGAATGTCATAGCGAAACCTACATTGGAATTTCAAATTTTCATAAAAAGTTTAGAGAATTTTGTCATGCACGGGTCGATTTTGTATAAATTGTACACAAAATATCGTATTCTGGCTAAATATTCCGGGGAGTACCCGGTGCTAAGTTCTTAATGTGATTTGAATTGCGCAAAATTTGAATACGGAGCAACGAATGCTTACTGGCGGGGCCGCCATCAACCAGCAGCAGCCAGACGGCGCGAGTCGAGTGGAAGGAAAGGACCAAGGGCTCCTAATTTACAAGTATCTTCCTAGAAGGCTAGCTATGCAAAATGCAAATTCTATGCGGCTGTAAATTCCGGTGCTTCCGGGTTATCGGGGGTCGGTTATTTTAGCGGGGGTCGGTTGCGAACTTTTTTCTATAATATCGTGCGGCTCGGCTAATTAAGAACTGGCCGTTTTTATAGACTTGTGTGCCGTTTGAAATGGTTCTGGACTGAAAGCGGGGGAGGAGACATTAAGAAAAACGTCATAAAACATGTTGAAAAAAATTTTGTTTTTTGGTATAACGTATATGAAAATGGCTAAAACCGCGCTATAACCCTAGATTTCGTGACTATAGGATAAATATTTTTATAATTTTTGATTATCGGAAGCTACTAAAAACAGTATTAAAATAACCTACAATTTATCACTAGGCAGGTATAGGCTAAACAAAAAGAAGATGCCAACCGACCCCCGCTAAAATAACCGACCCCCGATAACCCGGAAGCACCTAAATTCCCTAGTTCTCCGTCACTAGGGGGAATTGACCCTGCTCTTTCCGATGGCGTTTTTAGAAATTCAATAAAATATAAGTTTACAAAGTTAAAGCCGGTTTCATTCATTTTTCCCTGTGATGGTCCCTGTGAGCTAATCTGCATAATGCTAAAAAAAATACAAATCGCCTCATTGTGGCCAGTTGCGCGCGCGAGTTGAACTGAATTGACTAGAAAATCGGCCGGGGGAGGGGAGGGGTCCGAAGGGCCCAGGCTATCGGAAAGTCAAACTCCTGATGCAAAGGCCGGCGAAACGGGTTTTGGGCATTGGTAATCTATAATTTCCTGAAACCCCAATGCTCTATCATGCTCGTATCAATCGCAACAAACTAAATAGGAACTGCGAAATCTGTCTCTCGCTCTCTCGCTCTCTCGCTTTCTCTCACTCTCGATTGCCAATTTTCCGGATCATAGATCATATTTTTGCTTCACAAATTTATACTTCCATGGCCCCTTTTTTGTTTATGGGGCGTTAGGCTGACAATTTCCGAGGTTCCGCACCCCACCGCCGGAGTTGATCCACACGTAGAAGACGCTAGAATTGAAATAGTTCCAGCTGTGCGCCCGTGCAAACCGTCCATTGTTTCGCCACGTCTTCTGACCCTGACCGGGTGGCGGGATGTACACGAAATCGATGACTGAAACAAAAACATTGTCTTGCAAATGAACCACCAACGTTTTGGAAGCGACAGCTGCCATTCGTTGACTGCCTAAAAATGAAATGTAAAGGGTGCTAAACCTGGGCTTATTTTTATCTTGTCGAAAATCAATTTGCCAAAATTCATTTTGTCGAAAGGTCTACGAAATGATAGCAAATCTTAAATATGCAGTATGGTCGTGACCTGAAAGGCGCCACACTCCCCAATCGTCTCTGCCACGTAGCCGACGACGCTCCCGGTACCGCCGAGGTTGAGACGGCCTAGAATTTCAGCCCTAATTTTTTTCAATTTTCCATTTTATTGGTACTTGACTCTTAGCGCGGGGGGAAGCCAATTTGGTTCTTTGAGGTTCGCTTCGATTCGATTCTTTGGGAAGGTACTTTTTTGCCTAAATCTTGTTATATATAGGTAATGCGTTTCTACATTGTTTTTGGTTATTTCTAAGCGAAACAATTTTACAAAATTTGATTGGAAGGACGATTTCATGCTGAAAAATTGATTTTTTCGATTGGTTCTCCCCGCGTAATCTAAAGATTCGCTAGTTTCAATTTTCCGTTTCTTGGCTTTTTGGCTTCGCTTTCCACGCACACGCAAAACTCGACTTGCTGGCCGTTCTGAATTAGTACCCACCATTTCGAATGGTCAGTGCGACAAGGTTGCACCCGGCCACTTTTTGGCGCAGAACGCAGAACAGGCTGAAAGATATGAAGCTCGAAAACGTATTACCTTACCCATTTTCCGCCTTGACCTGGCCCACCCCGGTCGGCCTGGTTTTCGTCCAGCGATGCTGACGGTCGGCGTACACCCACCAACGCGGCATTCCGATGAGTTGGCCGCGAAGTTCGGCTAAAAAGATTGGAATAGAAGAGATGAGAGAGAGACAGAGAGAGAGAGAAAGTCAGGGAGAGATAGAGAGAGGTTGGCCAAATGTGGGAGAGCAAGAGGTAGAGAGAGCGATAGAGAAAGAGAGAGGGAGAGTGAGTGTCATGGGTGCCCTCAAAGCCTTACTATTCCTCTAGCACGGGCACCCATGGCTGACCCGTAAAGCCGTATCCCAATGACAGTTTACCATATGGAGCGGCCGTCGCAACGCATTGCACCGGCGCGTCCGCGCTCATGTTTATGCAAATTACTCGTTCGACGGATCACGAAACCCTCACGTGCTCCTAATAAAGATGTTGAGGCAGACCGTCCGCTAGCTCTAAATGCCCGACATATGCATTTACTACTACAAGAGAGAGAGAAAAGAGAGAGAGAGACAGAGAGAGAGAGAGAGAGAGAGAGAGAGAGAGAGAGAGAGAGGAGAGAGATACAGCGGCGAGAACCAGCGCGGGAGAGTGTGTGCGAGTAAGAATGAGCCAGATATAGGAAAAGTGTTAGAGCGTTAGAGACAGAGAGGGAAAGTGAGTGAGAGATAGCGAGAGAAAGAGAGAAAGGGGGCGTAAGAGATGTTCATAGATTTATACGCCCATGCGCGGCTTGCACCTCTGTTTAAAGTGACGTGCTATAGACACTCAACTACCGGCGGCCGATCTGAGGAAGAGCCTAGCTTCTTCTTGTCCTAATTATCCCAAAAAGACCACGACACGCAACGCCCGTTCGCCGTTCCTTGCAACCAGGCCCGTAAGAGGGGGCGAGGGGGCGAGCCGCCCCCCCGAAATCGGCCGAAGGCCGAAAAGTTCCTAACAAGGAGACGTTTTTTGGTGTGAATGGAGTTCTGAGTGGAAACCAGGCCTATTTTGTGCAGAATTTTGCGCTGATTCCGAATATCTTTTCCATTTCTGCTAACCAGCTCGATTTCAAAAGTTATAGCAATTTTAAGATCATTTTAGCCCAAATTTGCCTCTCTTTAGGGACCATTATATTGCTTTTCCCGGCTGTTTTTCCAAAAATAAATATTGTCACCGTATTCAGAAAAATTTTCTCTATCGAATGAGCTATTTAACTCAAAATTGTTGAAAATCGAAAAAATCGACGATACTTGGTATGGGCTGCGATTTTTGTATGGGAAATGGTGAAAAACAGACTATTTCTCACCCCTGTAAGCCATCGACGATCGGCAGTAGCGCACTAATCAAATATACCATTCGAAACAGAAAAAAATTCTCTACAAGATAGGCTACTTAAACAACATTAAAACGTTATAACAAAAAAGTAGCACAGCATAGCATATGGCTACCCTGGGCCTAAAAATTATCTTAAAATAGCTGTAACTTTTTAAATCGGGCTATTTAGCAAAATTGGAAAACAGCATCGAAATCAGCGCAAAATTCTGCACAGAATAGGCCTGGTTTCAACTTAAAACTCCATTCACACTAAAAAACGTCTCCTTGTAAGGGGGGACCATTATGATTTAATTTTTCCAAAAAATTTTTTGCCTGCGGCGCTGTTTTTGTCTATTTTTAACACTAGTTTTAGTGTTATAAACCCTATGTTTTCAAAAATTTTGCCTGCGGCGCTGTAGTTTTAGTCATATTAGTGAAAAATTTTTGGCGTCGCCCCCCCCCCCCCCCCCCCGAAATTTGGGTTTGTTACGGCCCTGCTTGCAACCCATGCGCCAAAATCCCACTAAAACCCGTAATGGCCTCAAACTTGACCGACTTTTGCCGAAGCATCCACGCGTCCTCAGCTGGGTACTGCCACGGGTCCTCGGCAACCTGTCGCGGCGCTCGAACCAGGCCCGGTAGCACTTGCCGTTGTACCACTCGACACCTATCGATGTATTGAAAGTTATAGTCATTTTTATTGCCCTATTTGCCCTCCTCCAGCCCCTACAGCAGGCTTCAATTACTGCCCTAGGCTCCCGCTGTGCTACATGTCGTAAAGTATCTCAAAATGCCTCACCTGGTCAGTCGCTTTAAAATAGATTACATTTGCGTTTGCAAAATAACGGAAGCTAAGAATTCTGGCTAATAACCATTATCAAACTTCGAGACAATTTCCACGATCTCAACCTTCGTTGCATCGATTTGCATAGGAATTGCGTTCAAAAGGGAAAACCGGAGTGGCGACACTTTTGTAGACAACACGGCATTTCCGGCTGATGATAATATGTAGTAGCTATTCAGGGCGAGTTTTTGTGCTTTCACGAAGCGATTTTTAATTTTTTGAGTACCCTGTCCGCTTAGCAATTTTTGAAATCCGGGACCTTTTTTTGGAATTTAAAGCTTTAACGAGCCATTTATGTGGCACGAAAATCTCCAGAAGAGCCTAAAAACGTTTTCTTGTCAGGCCAACCATCCCAAGCCCTGGGGCCCTTTTGCTATTCGTTAGTTGACTGCGTGCTCGCCCGCTTTGGGCTTTTCTGACCTTGGCACTCTGCCACCTGATAGCAAGCGGCCACACAGCGATCCGGGCTTGACGACAACTCAGCGCCGCGGAATCCGTAGAACGTCAATTCGGTCATGTACTGAAATTCTGATAAATGTTTTTCACAAAGTCGCAATTTGAATTTTGCAGTTTTTGGCTTCCCTGCCCCTTTAAAGGTAGCATGACAGGTGGCTAATTTTTGCAATTTTTCGTCCTTTTGGTTCTTCAATCCAGCCTTGTTAACATAACCCACCGTGCCAGTTTTTCCGTAGGAGCTCCTGCTGCACGACCGAACTGAAAAAAAACACGAGTCACAGGGTGTCCGACTGAAATAACACCACTCTAACTTGACGCAAAAGTATCGCATCAGAAAGGTAGTTGCACCATTCGAGAGCCCTTCAAACGACGCGTTTACCACATCGCTCAAAACCATGTTTATACCAGCGCCCAAAACCCGCTTCGCGGGCCTTGGGCGCTGGAATGCGGCCTTTGCATAAGAAATTTGACTTTCCGATAGCCGGGGTCCTTCGGACCCCCCCGCCCCAGCACTCGCGCGCGTGCAACTTGCAAGAATGAAGAAATTTCTATTTTTTCACATTATGCAAATTACCCCCAAAAATGAGTAAAACCGGCTTTAACTTTGTAAACTTGTATTTTATCAAAATTCCGAAAGCGACATTGGAAACAGAAGGGTCGATTCCCCCAAGTGACGGAGAATTAGTGCATTTTATGCACGGGAAGGCCCTAAAATCGGGCCTCGAAAGTGACATCCACACACACACACACAGGGTGCCGCGAACTTTGCGGCGCGTACTTTTGCGGCGCGAACTTTGCGGCGCGAATTTTGCGGCGCGAACCTTGCGGCCGAACTTTGCGGCGCGAATTTTGCGGCGCGAACATTGCGGCCGAATTTTGCGGCGCGAACATTGCGGCCGAATTTTGCGGCGCGAACATTGCGGCCGAATTTTGCGGCGCGATGCTTAGGCACAGGCCTTAGGTTATTCTTTTGCACTGCATCCGAATTTCGTCATAGAAACGTTAGAAGACTGTTTTGCGACAGGAGTCACTCGATTTGGTGGAAATTCATCGCTATTTCTTTCGCTCTGCGACTAGAAAAAGGCTTCGTACCACCCGGGGCCTAGTCGCTTCGGATGGGTGCGAGCTCGTACAGGGTTTCGAAATCGGGGCGCCCGAGCAGCGCGAAGCGCCCAGGCGCCTCGATTTCGAAAGAGTGGAGCGGCAGCCCATCCGAAGCGACGGCCCACCTTGCCTGACGCCCTCAAGAGGTCTCTTGTCACGGCAGTGCGGAAAGTTGCAGTTAATTTGTATTGAATTACATATATAACCATTACAAAACCAAAACTGGCGGTGATTCTGATTTTGAATTTCTGAAATTCCTCTGAAATCTGTTCCTGAACCCAAAACAAATTCTGAATTTAAATGATTTCCATTAATATCTGTTGCGCCGCAAAATTCGGCCGCAAAATTCGCGCCGCAAAGTTCGCGCCGCAAAACTGCGCGCCGCAAAATTCGGCCGCAAAGTTCGCGCCGCAAAAGTGATCGCCGCAAAGTTCGGGGAGCCACACACAGTTACACGCCAAAATTATATAAGGTAGGATTTAAACCCGCCATTTTAGAAGCCATTTTGTAAAATTTTGCGGTTTTTCGGGGTCGCATCCGAGCTGATTTACCTCAAGTTTCTGAAGCACTATGACCGGAGTAACATTTAGTTTGATGCAAAAACGCCCTTTCAATATTTTTGTAACTCTATAAAATGGCGTATTTAAGTAAAAACATGTTTTGAATATTGTTTCAAACTCGCCGTTTCAAGTGACTTTGAATGGTCTAACCATGACTACGACCCAATATTTCTGCGTCACGTCACCGTCACCCTTTAGACTTTGTAGCCGCCAAATTCTCACTTTTCTTGCCGCTATTGCCATCACCGTTTTGCCCGCTTCCGTTGTCCTCGTCGCTGTCATCGGTCCAACTGCCGACGCCGCCGCCTTTCCCGCCGTCTCCGCGACCTCCTCCTTTTCCACCGTTTCCGCCCTTCCCTCCATTACCACCGCTTCCGCCCTTGCCACCTTTCCCTGGAATGGGTGTTTATGAGAAAACAGAAAGATTCCCAATCCTTTCTAAAGGCGTCGGCAAGAACAGACTGTAGATTTTTGGCACTGCTCTTTTATCGGGGGGAGGAAGCGGGAAGACTTTTGGCAGGTCAACCAATCTTTGTTTTGCCGCCTTTACCCACATTTTGATAATCAATATATATTTTTCCAATACTTTTTGTAGGTTTGGACTGCCAAAAACTTATCAAAAGTAATTTCAAAATTTTAACTTAAAAAATTTTGTCTTTTTGGGTCATTTCAGCATACAGCTCCAACCAAAAATTTCATAATTTAGGTAGGAGTTTTTTTACCAGAAGACGATAGAAAATACTAAAAACATCAGTTAAATTTTGTTGTCTGCCGTACCGGATTACTTGGATAAATTTGTCCAGTAAGCCCCCCCCGCTAACAGCCCAGTACTTATTTTCCGCGTTTTTTTTCAGTACGGGTACGTAGTACGCAGGCCAGTACGCAGGCCGAACAAAATCCACAGCTATGCCATATCTCCTTTAAAGCCCCTTTAAAGCAGCCTAGACCTTACCCATTCCCAACGCCTCCATTAGCGCATCGGCATCGATGTTGATTGAGATCTGTAACGGGGATTATGACGGAAATTATCCATCTAGTACGCCTTATTTTAAGTAGCACAGTGTTTTCATATTTTTTTATCTTGTAGCGCTAAAAAAGCTGCGTCGCGACATTTATTTTACTGTCGAAACCCACGTCCTGTGTGATGATCGTGCCGCCAGCACCCCCATCAGCCGGCACCGAGATCGGGATGTACGGGGCGTTCGGGTCGAAGGGCGGGAAAGCCGGCACATTTGGCGAGTCGTAACCTCCGTCAGGAGGACCGCCCGGCTGGGTTAGACCCTGAAATCCGACGTTATGTAATTTTGGCGTGTAGTCCGTGTGTGTGGATTTCTCATTCGCGGCACGATTTGATGCCCGTCCTGTGCAAAATGCTCTAATTCGCCATCACTTCGGGGAAACGACACTGCTATTTCCGATGGCGTTTTTAGCATCCCGATAAACTACAAGTTTACACAGTTGCAGCAGGTTTGATTCATTCTTGGGGGTCCGGCTGGACTAATTTGCATAATGTTAAAGAAAAGAAATTTCCTCATTCTTGCAAGTTGTAATTGCGCGTGTGGTCGTGAGAGGAGAGGAGCCGAAGGACCCGGGCTCTCAACTATAATAATTTTGCTATGGTGTCTGTCTGTTTGCGCGCATCCGAATTCAACTCGAGGTGGAAAGGAGCTAGAGCTTTGGTGTCTTCGGATTCGGGCAGAGCGCGGTCATAAACCCCCCAAACTGATAAAAACAATTATCGAAAAGTTTTGGTTAAATTATCAAATTTAACTTTGAAAGTGGCGCCTTAGTAAAAAAAGTGGGGAGCGGCTATTTGCACAATTTTAGGCATAGTGAGCCAGGTCGCGCGCGTTTCGGCGAAGGGAGGGAGCGTAAGGGGGATAGCCGAAACCCAGCCAGGCGGGCCAGAAAATCAAAAATCTGCGCATTGAGAGCAGTTTAGCGCCCAAGATGCAGGTTAAAAAAGAAAAAAAAAGACCGTTTATCTAAGTTTTAGACGATTCCGCTTTTTAAAGGAACGGGCAAGTAGGTTTATGGATTTTGCCATGTTCACGAAGCGCTCCGGGCACCCTTCCTGACGGCTCGTAATTAAATTTTCGGTTTAAAATTTCTGGTTGAGGATCCAAAACCCAACCATATCATCCGCATCATCCTGCGCGGCTACGAGAAGCGCCAATAGAATCACGGCCCCGAAAATTCTCATAGCAACGTTGAAGCCCGCGTAAGCACGGCAGTAATCGAAATAATGTGAAGCGACGGGCCGAAGCAGGACGATGCCAAAGAATTCCCAGGCGGAGCCCCGTTTTATGGACCGGACAGTGCCTGATTTACGAGGGCCCGCGCGACGACACGCACCTCACAAATCGACGACGACGACACCGGAGTGTAAATGCAAATGCGCCGGGTCGTTGCTGGTGGGAAAACGGAACACGAATTGGCACGTCTTAGTGGAAATGATTCAGAACTTTTTGCAGGGGCACTCAGGGGTGTGGTTTTAAAGGAATCGTCAAGGCACGCAACGCTCACGAAGTTTTCCACCATAGAGAGACGAATACAGGCCGATATTGTTGGCATTGCGCACTACAGGCTGCCCCAATAAAAAAAACCTCCTCTAACTCGACGCGGAGGTATGGGATCGCAATGATAGTTACACCATTCGAAAGCCCTTGAAACGGCCAGTTTACAGGCATCTTCAAAGCCATATTTTTATTTAAATGCGTCATTTTATGGCTGATTTAAAAACGTCAAGAAACGCCCTCTGCATCTAAGCAACGGTAAATTCTGGTCATTTTGCTTGGAGAACTTGCGGCGAATTAGCTCGTATACATGCAATAAACCTGAAAATTACAAAATGGCTTGTAAAATAGCGCGTTTAAATAAATACATGGTTTTGAAGACTGCTGCAAACTCGCCTTTTTAAGGGCTTCCGTACGTTGAATTATCATTGCGATCAGATACTTCTGCGTCGAGTTAGAGGGGTGTGTTTTTATTGGGACACCTTGTATTTTTAATTTATATGCGTGATTTGCATAAATTCTGGTCATTCAAGCCATGTACGCTGGGGGACGGTCGCTTTTTCTGCGGTTTCTCTTAAATCATTGCCATTAAAGACTACTACACTTCCCGAGCAACACCGATATGATTTCGTATCGTATGCCGTTAGGACAGAATCACGTCGTAGTCAGTTGCGCAATGGAACTGTTTGCCGAATTCGTAAGGAATCCGGGCCCCGTTTTACTCTACCCCCCTCTCATTATTTTAGGCCGGAATTCAAACTCTAGGGATATTTTTTGACGCACTATCGAATGGCGTTGAGAAATCCTGAAAAAAGATTGACAATATCAAAAACTCTGTGACCTTTCGGCTGTGGGCAGTGGGGTGGGTAAAGTAACGTGACTAACGGACCCCAAACAACCCCAAAAAGTTTGAACTTTTTGAATTTCCGATCGCAAATCAAAGTTCTACGCCAAATCGTCCGGAACTTGACATGCAACTTTTAGCGATGGGAACCGCTGGGAAGGAATTATGGCTTTAGTGGCATGTCGACCAGGGTGGTTCCCAGGGTGATATTACTGGTCGAATTGCTGTGGTTTAAATGGTTATAACTTTCACGTGATGGCTTCTGAGTCTTCCTCGAACTTCAGAACCACTCTAAAGGGACCGGAGAGTCCGGGAATCGAGGTTTTGAAGCGGCTGGGTGTCGATAGCTACGTATCGCCCAAAAGCCCATCGCTTCGACTGAAAAAGATGGCAAAGTAAAACGAGTCAACTTGACGCAACATCTGCTCCCGTCGTGCCATTCCGTAATGGATTATAGAACGTCCAGGGTAGTTAAACTATAGAACGTTACTGCGGGTCTATTCCGGTCGATTTCAGGATCAAAAGCCACACGCGGTGCGCTTATGATCTCTTCCGATCAAGCGTCGTAAATCAAATAGCAAATAGCAGAAGCACTATAAAATGGATCCCAAGTTCTGCAGACGATCTTTGCTAGCCATGGTCCCGTTTCTGCTGCAGCTGCTTTTGCCGATTTCTGCACTGGGAGCAGAACCAACGACACCATGTGCGTGCTAGGACGATGAAGCCCACACCGAGGATTTTTTCAGATTTTATGCGATGTCTACGACGCCCGCTCCAGGTTGGCGACTCGTTCACGATGAGAGGGAGTCTGACGCCGAACGCTAAATGGTTCTCAATTAATTGGGTTGTACTTTTATTCTAAGGTTCACCTGCGACCTGGAGACGAGCTTCTGGAATGGGGTCTACGCCCATATGCAGCAGCATTTCAACGATTGGAACAGGATTTGGTACACGCATAGTGGAAAGCCGGTAGGTAGAGAGCGAAGAAGATGACTGGCTCTTACCCTCTCTCTCTCTCTCTCTCTCTCTCTCTCTCTCTCTCTCTCTCTCTCTCTCTCTCCCCTCTCTCTGCCTTCTCGCTTGCTCTTTCGCTCGCACTCTCTCTCTCCCCTCGATCTCACTTGACCTCTTTCGATCCCTCTCCCCTTCTCACTCCCTCTGACTCTCTCTCTCTCTCTCTCTCTCTCTCTCTCTCTCTCTCTCGTGTTAGAGTTTATACAAATCACAAGCACGAAAAAGGAAAAAACAATTTCTTAAGGTTTGGGCTCCACCCACTTTCTACAAGGTCCCCAACTTCAGCCCGGGTTCAAGCTTTGAGATGAAAGTGACGTAAGTTTCGAGTTTGCCGATATTCTATTCAACTTTAAAGCGCTTACCAGCTACAACACCTCAGAAGTTCTAACGTTACAGTATCCTCTCACCGACGACCATCGATATCAAATACGGCAAAACCTCGAAGTGGCCGGGCCAGACTTACACGCAAACGGGAACGCCGACCCCGATGAGCTCGGCGCTGCGTCTGTCGGTATATAACTTTCGTGATCATCCACCTCTGTCGTGAGTTTAGTGCTACGGCGATCTCTACAACGTTGAATTGAGCGGCGACAACCTGCAGGGGAAGATTGTAAGTAAAGCCACATCAAAAATGACGTCTAAAAAACTGATTCCAGCTCTCTTGGCTTTGGAAGAGAAAATCAATGGCGTCAGAAAACTTTAACCGACCTCTTCGATCAGCCGGGCATCGACAGCTACGCAATGCTGCAAAATGCGCTTGAAAGCTTTTAGCAACCTTCGAAACAGGCTAGCTAGCGTGGATAGGTGCGAAACGTAATTGTCGAGACCTAGTAGACGACAGGCGTCGATTCTGGCAGATATTATAGCTTTGCGAAAATAAATCTAGTTCCTGGAATTTAGAGCAGCAGCAACCACGACACCTGCCGGTTTGAAGCTGGCAAGAATGGTGACGGACTTGGCCGGCACTCACATTCTCATTCTTCGTAGCATTCGCATAAGGATGGGTGAGGGAAACAAACCCATCTCTGTCACACTTTCCCTGTATTCCTTTTTCTCACTTTCTCGCTCTCTTTCCCTTGCTCTCTCGCTCTCTTTCTCTTTTAAGAAGTTTTTTTCAGCGACACAAAATGGCCCTCAGATGGTGGCAAAGACGGTGGAAACAGCAATGGCAAGAATAATGGAAATGCCGGCAAAAACGGCAAGGGAGAGATGGACATGGAAGAATTGGCAAGGCTGTTGGCGAAGAACCTGCAAATTGATGTCAATGTCAATCAAACCGTGATCCAGGGAGAAGCCGCTCCTGTGGCCCCAGTTCCACCAATTCCGCCCTTTGTTGATTACTGAAATGATATGAATAAAGTTATTAAGCCCATTGTTATATATAAAGAGAACGAGAGAGCGATAGAGAGAGAGACATAGAGACAGAGAGAGAGGGAGAGTTAAATAGATAGATAGAGAGAAAGAGAGAGTGGGAGAGAGAGAAAGAGAAAGAGGGACGGAGAGAGAATTTAATATAGAAGGTACCGTATTCCGGAAGTTCCGGTTCTGTTTGACACACTTCTCCCACAACCCTCCACGATTTATCGCGCACCGCCGGCTTTACAACCCCGAAACAAAGTTCACGCCGGAAGCAGCTATAAATGACCTTTCCTGCGTCGTCTTTGTATTCTGTGCTGATGGTTTTACTGTGGGTGTTAACTGCGATCTTCACAATTTTAGTAGCCGGAGATCCGGTGCCGACGGCTCCATGTGAGATTCCAAATATTAATCAGTGATTTACGCAGCCAGAGTCCAAACCTAATTTTTAGCTATCAAGTCTATTTTTTACCTTTCCAGACTTTCAACGATGCCTCCGCCGGCCAATGCGTATTGGTGATACCTTCACCGCTCGTGGAAACTTAATGCCGAATTTGCAGAGGTAGAAAAGAGTAAATTGCGTTCCAATCAACTCCAGATGGACGTGCGACCTCGAGACGCAGTACACGAAAAACATCTTCGTCCATCTGGATCATCGACTCTGGGGAGCGCCACTCATCGTCTACACCCATATGCCAGGATCAGGGGTAAAACTTTGTCGCTTAGGTAGAGGAATGCAAAGGCTCGTGCTCTCAAGAAGGTGCCGCCAGCCCCAGTTTTTGTATCTCGATTTTCTATTCTAATTTCAAAAGTATACCAAAATGTCCCCCTTGGCCTGGCGAGCATTTTCGTATATTTCAGAGCCCTGTAGAGTAAAAGGTAGGCGAGCTACAGTGGTCGGCTGTCGGCTGGGGAGTGGTTGGCTGGAGATTAGTCTTTTTCAGAATTGGCAACCCGACACGCAATACAGTGCCCAGCCGTTCGCCGTTGGCACCGAGTTCGAGCTGAAGGTCACGTGGGTTTTGGCCAAATATTGAGAACACCGTTCGACTGGAGGAATAGCCTTCGACTAGCAAGCTCAGGACCCAGAACCACCTCCAAAAACCGACCGTCTAACCCGGTCAATCAGGCCCAAATGGAAGGTTTTATGCAAATCTGACATGCTAAAGTTGAATCAGCGATACTGATCATCTTCACGACTGGACTGCACCTTAAAGGGCTGCTGACGGCATGTGTCGATCCCCCTCATCAACAAATTGGCAATTAGCCAACAGGGCAGAGAGCGCGCCCCGGGGAGAGGCGCAGAAACATTTTCTTTACAGCGCGTAACCGGTTGACTATGCCGTCGGCATCCCTTTAATTATGCTCTCCTTAAATCCGAGAAAAGACTCATTTGGCCGACTGGGTGTCACCAGCTACACGTAGCAACAAAATACGCACGCAGAAACAGCTTAATTAGTTAGAATTGTTGCGCTATCATCAGTTCGCTTGTTATTTATTCTTATTCACTTCATCTGCAGTATTGACTGTCTGACGTGGTCTACATTTAAACGGCAACTTCGTTTTTTCTATCATCAATTTATTCTTTTTGAGAATCCTGAGTGCAACGTCCATAAAAACCGATTACGGCAAAAAGTCGATGTGGCCGGGGACCATTTGGACAATGAAGGGCGCGCCGACATCTATGGATTCTGTCAAGATTTTTGAGGTAATTCAGAGCAGTAAATCCTCCATTACTGTGTTTTTCAGTGCTACGGTGACATCTACAACGTGTCGTTCACCGGTGATGCGTTTGGCGGGAAAGTGGTAAGATTTTTCTGGAATTACAGATTTTATTGTTTTTTCCGGGCCCCGGTCCGGTACTACCAATCCGTGGCTTTACTGATCCTTTAAAAATTAGGATATTTAATATAGCAATTTTATCAGACTTTAGGTAATGTAGTTGTTCAATTTTATAGTCCACAAACTATCTGTCTGGTTGCCCTTCATATGGTTCGTACAAAGAAGAAGATACGCATCACGAGAAAAACGGCGGTCAAAAGCATTCTGATCGTGCTTCTGACGACAGGTACCTATGAATATGATTAACGATACCTATGAAAACCATAACTCCTCCGAGAGGCCGAACGACAAAGGCAAAAAATCAACTGGAAAGAAACCAGCTAACTCCGACTCTGAATCTGGAAAGAGCAATGGAAAAGGGCTGACGAAGAGTGAAATGGAACAGCTGGCTAGGCTGCTCGCCAAAAATCTTCAAGTCGATGTCAACGTCAATCAAACTGTGATCCAGGGAGCTGCAGCCCCTTCAGGAGCAGCACCACTTCCTCCACTTCCCAAAACCCCTAAGCCCGTCGATTACTGAAATCATTTTGATAAATTTGTTCAAAATATGGTGATTGATTCAGACATGGAACAAAAGTTATCCAAGGTCATGCCAAAAAACCGATGGGTCAAAGAGTGGAAGCTAACAAGGGGACGTTTTTTGGTGTGAATGGAGTTCTAAGTGGAAACCAGGCCTATTTTGTGCAGAATTTTGCGCTGATTCCGAATATGTTTTCCATTTCTGCTAAATAGTTCGATTTCAAAATTTACAGCAATTTTAAGATCATTTTAGCCCAAATTTTCCCCTCTTTAGGGACCATTATGTTGCTTTTCCCGGCTATTTTTCCAAAAATAAATATCGTCACCGTATTCAGAACAATTTTCTCTATCGAATGAGCTATTTAACAAAAAATTGTTGAAAATCGAAAAAATCGACGATACTTGGTATGGACTGCGATTTTTGTATGGGAAATGATGAAAAACAGCCTATTTCTCACCCCTGTAAGCCATCGACGATCGGCAGTAGCGCACTAATCAAACATACCATTCGAATCAGAAAAAAAATTCTCTACAAGATAGGCTACTTAAAATAAATTAAGACATTATAACAAAAAAGTAGCACAGCATAGCATATGGCTACTCCGGGCCTAAAAATTATCTTAAAATAGCTGTAACTTTTTAAATCGAGCTATTTAGCAAAATTGGAGAACAGTATCGGAATCAGCGCAAAATTCTGCACAGAACAGGCCTGGTTTCAACCTAAAACTCCATTCACACTAAAAAACGTCTCCTTATATTTATATTTATATTTATTTGCGCAACGAGGCGCCATTGCACATGCAATGAGTCACAGTATAGGGGAAAGATGTCCCGGAAAATGTGGGGCTTAAAGGAAGGAAGGATTTTGGGGATGAATGGATGGGTGGACGGGAGGTGGGATGGGCAAAGAGGGGGAGAGAAAAAAAAATGTAAAATTTTTGGAGGCTAAAGATGGTGTTGGGGCAGGGGTACTCAGTGAAGTGGTGTGAGAATCGGATGGTAGATATAGACACGGGTCTGTACCCGACACTCCAACTCCCTACCAAACCGTGCACAATACTGAGGGCGGAGCCGGCTGCGGTTTGGACGTACGCCCGGAGTACGGAACGCTACGTAAGTGCTCGGTGGGAGTGTTTCGGAGTGGTGTCAATCTTGGCCTGTCGATTTCGCTACCAAAAAATGGATTAAGAGCCCTGTGTGCACCGATCAAGACAACGGCAGAGTATAACAAACAGCATGGCAAAACCAAGAACCCTTGAGGCTACAAGACAAGGCCAGACGGCAAGCGGCAATCAGCAAACGGCAAGACAAACGACATCGGCAATGTTGTGTACGATCAAATGGGCAACTATGTTTGATAGTTTTCTTTCGACGAGTCGCAGGGCGGTGGTGCTGCCGACGGAGAGGGAGGGTGGTGGTTGGCGGGTCTCGTGGGCGAACCAAAGCTGTGGAGCAGTAGGGAAGGCTGCAGGCAGGTGGAGATGATGGGAGATGACGGCTCGGAGGACTCAAAACTGCAAAAAGAAAGGGCCGCCGGAGCGGATATAGCAAAATAATGTTGTCAGCAGAGAAAATGGAAGGGATAGGAAATTTAGAGCTTGAGAACCCTAGAAAGATCTAGCTTTAACAAATCCTTGCGAAAAGACTTTACATCACGAGAGTAAAGTAGTTTTTGTGGCAATAAATTCATCCAGCGGGCTATTCTAATAGTGATCTCTCTCTCTCTCTCTCTCTATCTCTCATCTCCTTGTAAGGGGATGAGCGATAGAGAGAGAGAGAGAGAGCGAGAGAGAGAGAGAGAGAGAGAGGCGTAGCGTGAGAGCGAAGCGAGAGCAAGACAGCGAGAGACAACGAGAGAACGAAAGACATAGGGAGAGAGAGAGATATAGAGAGAGGGGCGGAGATAGCGAGAGAAAGCGAGACAGCGAGAGACAGTGAGAGACAAAGAGAAAACGTGAGACAAAGTGAGGGAGAGAGTAAGAGAGAGAGAGAGAGAGCGCGCAAGCGAGATAGTGAAAAATAATTCAAGAGACGAGCTACCGTCAATACCGGACTGCCAAATCACCTGCAAGATCTGGCACGCGTTTCTCACAATTTCCGGGGGCCCCAAATAATTTATAGCAGGCCGGTTTCCCAGCTACAACAAAGTTCAATGCAAGCAGCTATAAATAAGATCAACTTTCGAAGGCGAGCACTTCAAGTCCAAAGCCATGATGTGGATATGGATATTAGCTGTGATTTTTGTCGTCTCACAAGCGCAAGATCCAGTGCCAACAGCGCCAAGTAAGTTTCAAGGTCTGGCAAGCCAAAGCTTATGCCTAACAAGGGAAGTGCACGACCGACCCACGAGAAATCGACACGAGACATAGTGGATCTGATAGAATCAGATACGGGGATTCCGAATCTGTAATCAGAATCTGCTAAATAAAACGGAGAAAAAAGTTATGAAGCTTCAAAGTTGGCCAAATCGCCAAAAACGGTACCTTTAAGGGCCCGTAAAAACCGGTGGAACGGAATTGAGGAAAAAAGAATTAGTGCAGCTTGTTCAGCAGATAAAGCGCTTTCGAATGAGCTGTAATACGTAGCATTTGCAAACAATTCACTGAAAAAGTTTTTTTGGATTCACGGGCAAGGGTATGGCCTGCCAAGTTCATAGAAGAGATTTTCGCGAAGTCATCGTAAACTTGAAGTAAGCTAGCTCATTCGAAAGCGCTTTTTCTGCTGAACAAGATACACTAATGGGTTGTGGCAAATTTCCAATCCCTGGGCCTTTACAGGCCCATAAAAGTCCGATTTTGGGCGATTTTTCCAACTTTGAAGCTTCATAACTTTTTTCTCCGTTTTATTTAGCAAATTCTGATTACAGATTCGGAATCCCCGTGTCCGATTCTATCAGATCCACTATGTCTCGTGTCGATTTCTCGTGGGCCGATCGTGCACTTCCCTTGTAAGTGCAACCCAAGCGTGTCTAGCTTAAATTTAAGTCTACTCCTAAAAAGTGATCAGTGGTTTGCAGGCTTTTATCATACTCTTTATTTCTTTTAGTTTTTCAACGATGCCTCCGTCGACCGATGCGTATTGGTGATACCTTCACCGCCCGTGGAAACTTGATGCCAAATTTGCAAAGGTAGAAAAAGTACATTCCAATCCAAACAACTCCAGATGGACGTGCGATCTGGAGACACAATTCGCGAAAAACGTCTTTGCCCATATGGATCATCGACTTTGGGGTGGACCACTGATCGTGTATACCCAGAGGCCTGGGCTTGGGGTTTGTATCTTTTTTTATTGGAGTTTTTGAGAAGGCTTGTCAAGATCGAAATTTTGAGTCAGAGGTTAAGCTCGAGCGTTTTTTTATGAGCTACAGCATACCAAATGATAGCTTGCCAAGTCATAACGTTATATTTTTTCCAGGCCTTCCAACCCGAGAACAAGTATGGCGCCAAGCCCTTCCTGCCCGGAACCACGTTTGAGCTGACCGTCACGTAAGTTTTTTTAGTGCTACGGTTCAGTTTACCCCCCAGGTGTTTCTAACTCAACTATTTTCATTTTTTATGTTTTTCGATTCAGACGTACTGTAGGATGATTCTACAGAACAAGAGCTACATTTTGGTACAATTGACAGCGCTGTAGGACTAAATATACCCGAGATACGAAAACACACTTCCAAGCTGCAAAAATTAACTAAAGAAAACCCAGTTTTATAATTGCGGTAAGACTCCACTTACTTTTCTAACAATTTTTGGTGTCAGGAAACAACTTTTTTATAGTAATTCGAGAACGGCGCCAATTTTGACATACTCGGCGCATTAATAGGACGTATGGCAGAAAAGTTCTCGCGGGGGGAGGTAAACTGAACTCTTAACCGAGGCAAGGAAGGGCAAAACCGACCAGCCGGCCCGATTCACAAGCGCGACTGGCGTTATTTATGCAAATCGCGCATGGAACGATCAGACAGTTGACTTAAAAGAAAAGCCCAACCTTCAGGCCCAACGCGGGCAATGAACGCAATAGTAGGTAAACCGGTTGATTAGGCTGTATTTGCTTTGTTTTCTCTATTGTGTGACTGAGATCTGTTCAGAATCTTGAGCCCAACCATGATGAGAACGGACTACGGTAAGAAGGCGTTATGGCCGGGGACAACCTGGACGATGCAGGGCGCCCCGACGTCTATGGATGCGGTCAAGATTTTTGAGGTATTTGGGAACATTAAAGCTTATTATTGTGGTTTTTAGTGCTACGGCGACATCTACAACGTGTCGTTCACCGGAGATGCGTTGGCTGGGAAAGTTGTAAGTTTTATGTGGTTTTTAACACCGTCCGGTGATTTTCGCATTCCCTTTTGCAACTTATAAGGCTTTATAAAAATGAGATTAAGGTTGAAGCTTCTAACGTCTAAAAATATCTATTCTGGGAGCATTTTCATCCAAAAAAATATTTAGTCGACAAACTACCTATCTGGATGCCCTCCATATGACTCCTACCATGATGACGACAAGCATCGCGATAAAACCCGAGGCCACCGACATTCCGATTGGGATTCGGATGAAAGGTATAGGAACTTTGTTAAAACTCATTTAAAAACGACTCCCTACTTTTTAGCGACTCCTCCGAATGGCCAAAAGACAAACGCAAAAAGTCCGATGGAAAGAAAACATCAAACTCGAATTCTAACTCTGGAAAAAGCAACGGAAAGGGGCTGACGAAGAGTGAAATGGAAGAGTTGGCTAGGCTGCTCGCCAAAAATCTTCAAGTTGATGTCAGCGCCAATCAGACTGTCATCCAGGGAGGTCCGGCTCCTCCAGGCCCACTCCCTCCACTGCCGCCACCGCCTAAGCCCAACGATTATTGAGGGGGTTTTGATGAAAATGTGTGATAATATCGTCGACAAGGCAAAGAAAACGGCAAAAAAAATCAATGTTTAAAAAGGATTGCAATTGAAATGATTGAATAACTAGCAAGAGCAACGCAAAGCAACGCAACGCGGAGTACGCGGGTTTGACTACAAATGATTGCTCCGGACACCCTTATTTTGTGCGCAAGCGTTGTAGCCGCAACAAAGGGTCTTCGCCACATTTTGCAATCCTGACGAAACTACATTACAATGAAACTCTATCATTCAAAAACTTACAGTTCAACACCACTGCCAGGCTCCACTTTCCTCTATTTTGCTTTTTAAAACGTTTCCCGAGCACCTCCAGGCCATTGTCGGCGGCATTTTGAAAACTAACAAACTTCTAGGACTTACATCTAAAAATCCGCAAAAACGAAGCAATTTTTTTTCTGTTTTCGCCACTACCATACACCGTTCTCTTTCCGTTCCGATTTTTATTGCTGGCCCGCCAGCTTGTCGGTCCGTTCCCGAACATAACAGGTGGCCGCGGCTCGTAAATGGTTCAATAGGGCGTCCGTTTTATGCTCTGGCGCCTCAAAAGAAATCCGTTTCAAGCATCGTGGGTTCTGAAGAAGAATGCTCCTAAAAAAACTAGTGTGAATGGAAAGCAGGTAATTTACCCAGGTAAAGCAGCTGTAACGCCGCAGTTCCTTCAGAAGCGATCATAAAAAAAAACGAAAGATAGGTCAAGAAAAGGCCTACAACGACCTTTGTATATTAACAACATTTATTTCAAACTAATAGGGCGGCTCGAGCACGGGCAGTGGGATGAATTGAGGCTCCACTTGAGGCTGTGGCTTCACTGGTTGTGGATGTATCTGGGGCTGTGGTTGTCCAGCCGGCTGTCCACCCATCGGCATTGGCATCCCACCGAACCCGCCCTGCATCAGGAATTGGCTCAAATCGATGGTAATGTCTAGATCGTCGAGTGAGAGGCCCTTTTTGCCGTTTTTGCCCTTGCCAGAACCGCCGGATCCGGATCCACGTCCACCGTTTCCGCGCCCACCTTTTGAAAGGTCTGGCCAGCCACTGAAAGATGATTTTAGCGGTGAGACTGTAGGCACAGCCGACCCCGATTTTTGTATCTCGGCAACTCTCTATAGTGTGTAAAGTATTCAAACATGTTCGTCGAAGCCTGGCAAGTATTTTGGTATACTTTACGCCCCCTATATCGACGCACGAAGCCGAGATTCTAGTGTTCCAGTTTGTTGCAGCGGCGTTGCGTATGCGTTGCGTGCTCCTGAGGCTGCGGCTACGTTACACTTGAGTTTGGGTTGCGCCAAAGTTTCAATGCCTTGCGGTACGGTTACGCTGCGGCTGCGCTACTTACACAACGCGTATGAGTGGAGAGTTTGCTGCGATGCTAATGCGCCGCGTTTTGGCGTTGCCAGCGTTGCGGTTGCGTCGCGGCGCGCATTCTCGTGTGAATCTTATCGTACGTCAAGTGCGCCATGTTGGGTATTTTGCAAACTTAATATTTTCTGCGTACCCATAAACGTCAGGTAATTTTAGCCCAGAGTCGGCCGCACCGCCACGCAACGCGCTGCCTTTTACGAAACATACCCATCATCATCCCGGCCCCTTGACCTCGAATCCGAGCCATGCCGATGTCTGTGCTCATGGCTATGGCTATGGCTATGGCTGTGCTTATGAGGGGCTGGCGGGGGAGGTGGCGGGGGAGGCGGAGGCGGTGGCGGCGGTGGCGGAGGTGGTGGAGGGCGAGGCCTTTGCTTTCTACCACCTCCTCGCTGCACCGGACGACTTTCCTCCCTTTCTGAGCCGAACGGCGGGCACTCTGCTTGCCAGTCGTGGATCTGAAGGGAGTATCGTTCAGACTATGTTACAATACGCTACGTATACACCTCCTTACGCTTCGATCCTGAAGCAAAAAAATACTCAGAATTGAGAACAAAAGTATAATATTGACCTATAAACTTACCACTTCATTGGCCAAAGATTCCCCGTTCAGCGTCACACCTGTCAGACCGCCATTGCACTAAAAAAATAGTCCACGTGCTTTGGTAATACCAAACCTGAAAGTATCTAGCCGCCCCGATGGGTGTCTGCCGTCCCTTAACGTCGAAGGTGGTACCCGGCCATTTGTTATCGCCACCGTAGGATACTTGGACCCGTGATTGCGAGATTACTCTATAAGAATTTTAGTAAGGTTTTTTGATACGATAACCGCATTCAAATAACGACAAACGTGCAAAAAACCTACCGAATCGTAATTTCGAAATTGGCTCCCGGTGTGAAAGGCAAAATATTGAAAGTGTGCGGTGGTTCCCAGGCCTAAAAATTTTATATTGAATAACTGCGGATAGTTTGTTAAAGTAGACCTGTGTCCCGAGACGATGTGAATAGGTGATAAGTGGAGCAGCTCCCTTGTAGTTACGATGATCATAATGCCCAAAAACTTCGTTCGACCAGCCCACTTCTAGGGCGCAGGTCCACCTAAAAAAATTATTTTGCAAACCAGCGCCCAAAACCCGCTTCGCGGGCCTTTGAGTGAGTTCGCGGGACGAGTTTGCCGCCATGTCTCAACTTTCGAAATAGCCTAGATACATCTCTTCAAATTGCAAAGATCTACGTTTTGGTCGCGATTTTTTACTAGCTGCACGCGACCGTAAATGAATTAGCGATATACCTTGTCATCCGGGGCCCAATCTTGCCTCGAGCCGTGAAGACGTCACCCGCACGCATCGGACGTTTCAGGCAGCGTCGCCAATCTGAAATATTTTTTAGTATACGCCGTTGGGAAGGAAGCTCGCGTTCTCCTGTGCATTTGACCGCGAAGCGGTCGCGTCGCGTTTCTCGTCCGGCCGCGGTTTTGAATGCGGTTCCCGGCCGACGCACCATGACGAGGAATAATAGTCTGCCACACTATATTCCCGCCAGTGCCCCTTGGGCCCATTCAGACTCCCAGCCTAGCATAGGCATAGACCCAGAAAGATTCACGAACCCAAGAAGCATACCACATGAAGTGTAGTAGGATTGTTCAGTGGAATAGAATTTGTATCCTGCCATGTGTTTATACGGAAGACAGTTTCGGTCACAAGTATTTATCAGTCAGAATAAACGAAAGAGATAAAAGGGGGACGGTGAGAGTTAGAGAAAGATAGGCCTTCGGCCTAAAGGAAAACAGGTTCTGGTTTAAGCCCATAGCGGGCAGGTTTTGGGTATTCGTAAGGGCCGCTTCCCTTCTCGAGGGCACAATCCATAAAGGACTGTGGCAACGGGACAATAAGTCCTCATTGCAATTTCCCCAAAAACATCCGATAAATCGGAGAGGCCATAGGCCCGGGAAAATCCCCGGGGAAAGGGATGGGCGCGCCGGACCGCCCAGGGGGGTACGGTCACGGGCCCACAGGATAAAAGTCACGCCCCCAGGATAATTCCCCGAAGGGTAATACCCTTCGAAAGTCTTGCCTTTGGCAAGATACTTTCGACAGCCGGTACCTCTTTAAAGGGACGGTAGCAATGGTTATGGATTTCATGATTCTTGGGGATGGCTACGCCACGCAACGGCGCGGCGGCCACAATTAGTTTTTCGTCAAGAAAGGAAAAGTGTGTAGCGCGAGTCGGGCTCGACAAAATGATAGGAAATCTTTACTCAGACTAGCCTTAAAACACTAAAAGCCAAATAAGGTGAAAAATTTTATGTCTACGCTTTTAGCAAAGGTCCTATTCACATTCTTGTTAAACCATCCGGGCAAAAACCCACACATGCCCGGCCCCGGACCACCCCACACCACATCCAACAAAGCAAGTAGAAATAACAGAAATTCCCGCATTAGTGACGTGTCGCCACGAAAAGTAGTCTCCGCTCGTGGCGGTCGTATAAATACGGCCGACACCATCAACCGTGGGATGCGTGTGCCGACTAGCGTGCGTAGTTTCGCGTAAATAACTACAGACACCCCATCAAAGATCTGAAAAACAGATCCACAGCATCAAACGTCAAAACATGAATTAAAACATGGGAAGCTCTGCATCGAAAGGTACTTTAAGAATACCGTGAATTGCTGCAGAAAGATCTTTAGCTTGGATTGGGGGATTCCTTTAAACAAGAAAAAATTTATCAAGACCAATATAGCGGCTTCAAGCCCGGAATATTGGAAAATTGAGGTTGAGGCTGTGGTGCGGCTCCTTGCATCACGAATTGCCCCATGTCGATATTGATATCCAAATCGTCCAAAGACAGCCCGCCCTTCTTCCCATTGTTTCCTCTGCTGGAACCATCGGATCCGCCTCCGCGTCGGTTATTCCTAGAGTCTGGCCAGTCCCTGAAAATATTTTGTTGCTTGGTAGTGACATGGAGTTGATGATTTTAAAGTGTGTGCTATGGTTCAGTACGAAACGGCTGTCAGCCAACCACAACGCGCACGCGACGCGACGCAACCGGAACGAGCCTGCGAAGCTCTCGAGGCCAAAACGCGACGCGCCGTGATGTTACCGCAGCGGCCCGCGACGCAACCTCAAAGCACGGGCAAATTCCCCGAACCTTGGCCGGGACGTAACCGGAGTGCGCCCACAACTTAAGAGAAACGTTGCAGCAACGCGCCCTTTACGCATCATCAACGTGTCCACAAAGCGCCCGCAACGCAGCCGAAAAGCTGACACGACGCAACCGCAATGCAAGCATGCGATGCAGCCGTAATCAATATCATCCGCATCGCGCAACAATCAAGCGCCCATAACGCATCCACAACGCAAGCCTTCTCTTAAAGACTACCAGAACGATGGAACGCGCACTGTCACCCCGAGGGTGCTGCCCCCAAGAACGCGTAGAGAGATGCGTCATTAGTGGTGCCCCGTACTGGCCAAAGGCCCTCTGGGATTTGGGGCGTCTCTGACTCCCTTCCCCACTTGGCCCTGTGGTGTAGTGGCTAGCGCGTCGGACTGTGGAGCGAACCATCGCGGGTGGAGGACGCGGTGGAGGAGGTGGCGGTGGCTTCGTGTCTGAGCCGAATGCCGGGCAAACGGCCAGCCAATCGTGGATCTGAAAAGGACTCCTACACGGAGAAGTTCAGCTTGGAGTTCAGGAACCTAGGCATAGGTTCAAGTTTGAGTGTATGCTTAGGCTCAGGCTTAGGCGCGCTTGTCCATGGTTAGGTTTAGCCAGGGCGAAATCCATTAGTCATAAAACCATTAGTCATAACCCCATTAGTCATAAAACCATTAGTCATAAATTCCATTAGTCATAAACCCATTAGTCATAAATTCCATTAGTCATAAACCCATTAGTCATAAATTCCATTAGTCATAAACCCATTAGTCATAAATTCCATTAGTCATAAACCCATTAGTCATAAATTCCATTAGTCATAAACCCATTAGTCATAAATTCCATTAGTCATAAACTCATTAGTCATAAATTCCATTAGTCATAAATTCAATAGTCATAAATTTTATTAACCGTAGATTTTGAGGTTTGAGTGTTGAGTTTTGAGTTTTGAGTTTCGAGGTTTGAGGTTAGAGGTTTTGAGGTGTATGTGATGGTCCTTGTCGTGTTCTCGAATCAAACTCCTTGGTTGCACATGATCGGATATCATTAAACCTATTAATTTTGGATTTGTTAACGGGATTATATCAGAGAATAACATTTCCAAGCAATCAGTTTCATAACATTTATGACTAATGGAATTTATGACTAATGGATTTATGACTAATGGAATTTATGACTATTGGATTTATGACTAATGGGTTTATGACTAATGGAATTTATGACTAATGGGTTTATGACTAATGGAATTTATGACTAATGGGTTTATGACTAATGGAATTTATGACTAATGGGTTTATGACTAATGGAATTTATGACTAATGGGTTTATGACTAATGGTTTTATGACTAATGGGTTTATGACTAATGGTTTTATGACTATTGGATTTATGACTAATGGGTTTATGACTAATGGAATTTATGACTAATGGGTTTATGACTAATGGAATTTATGACTATGGGTTTATGACTAATGGAATTTATGACTAATGGGTTTATGACTAATGGTTTTATGACTAATGGGGCGAAATCGTTTAGCCATAGGCTTAGTCTTAAGCTCAGGCTTAGACTTAGACATGGGCGTGGGCTTAAGCTCAGCTTGGCTTACGTCATTCTAGCCAAATTTCGACCTACCACATTATCAGCCAATGCATCGCCGCTCAGCGTCACAGAGTTGATACCGCCATTGCACTGAAAGAGATTCAACGATGCCTTGAAAACAACCAAACCTGAAAGTACCTAACCGACCCAATCGGTGTCTGCCTTCCCTTGATGTCAAAGGTGGCCCCAGGCCATCTGTTGTTACCACCGTAGGTGACTTGGACTCGTGACTGCGAGATGATGCTGTAAGGAATCGAAATTACCAGCCAACGTACGGAAGATCCTAATCTCTTAAACAATCTCATAAAAATACCCACCGGATCGTGATGACGAAATTGGTTCCCGGAAGAAACGGCAAGACGTTAAATGTGTTTGGTGGCTCCCAAGCCTAAATTATCGAGTTGGAATCGAGATCTGGCAATATGAACGTTATTATTTGTTGAGTTCAGGCTAGGTCGCCGCATGATCTGAATTCAAACTTTTACCTGGGTCCCGAGACGATGAGAGTAGGTGATCAGCGGCGCTTGTCCCTTGTAGTTGCGGTGGTCAAAGTGGCCAAAGACCTGATTTGACCAGGCGACTTCTAGGCCGCAGGTCCATCTGCAAAAATCCGATTTGGTTTTCGGATTTTAAGGGCATAGCGACGAAGGGGGAAGGCCTGTCACATCATTTTCCCCTATCGGGCGAAGCCAAATTTTTCTTCTTTGGGCCCGGAAATGCTGAATAATGTAATGGTTCGTGCCTTAAAAGCGTTTTAAGTAAGGTATATAGTAGGTATATTTCAAATTTCGAGAGGCAGAACTATAAAAAAAACCCCAAACGTTTTGAATGTCGAAAGTATCGTAGAGAACTTTACTGAAAAATTGACCATTTTATTGTTGAGAAATTGATACTTTTTGTGTTTAAGCTTCTACTTTTCGGAAGGCTATCAGAATTTTTTAGAAATAATATAAAAAATACGGTACCTTGTCATCTGTGGCCCAATTTTCCCGCGAGCCGTGAAGACATCACCGGCTCGCATTGGTCGCTTCAGGCATCGTCGCCAATCTAAAAAAAGTTTACGAGTAGGCCCTAAGCCTCAAAATCAATATATTTAAAGTATCCCGACTACAAAATCTGATCCTAAAAAATTCGAGTCACCGCTAAATGTGAAAGTTCTAACGCAAAACTCACACATCCCGGGACCCGGTCCACCGGAAACCACATCAACTAACGCGATGAGAAGGGCTATCCATGCCCAGGTACGTGATGACATTCGTCACAAAATGTCTCGATCACTTGAACCGATCTTATAAACCCGACGCCGCTCGTAAACCCTAAATAAAACGTGAGATTCTACGGCGAAGTTGCGTAGTTTCGCGCGCAGATTCCGGCGATCCTCTCGCGGCAGCTGAGGTACAGAAATCAGGCATCAAACACCAATGCAGAAATCGTAAAACGTTGCGTCTCCCTAAAAAGCATGAAAGCTTTTCAGACGTGAATTTAATTCATTGAATGCTTTATGGTCAGCGACAGACCGCCAGATCTACCACAAATATGCGAGGAGACTTCGCGGTGTTTGACCCTAGCCTACCCAGAGCCTGTGTCCGTCCCCAATTTGCATGTCCTCCCAAATCCGTTAGCAAAAACTCAAAACCACGTACTCCGACCGTTTACATAGGCAAAATCAACTTCCGGTGAATGTTAATAGTTTTCTTGCAAAGTGTGGATTTCCACAAAAACCTAAGGTTATCAGATCGAAAGGGTCGAAAACAGATCGGAAATCTAATGTAATGATCTCGAGACCGACAAGACCTACCAAATACCGCCTTAACTTAAGTTTCTATCGGAATATCCTGCGGAGAAGTTTCAGGTAAATCCGAAATGGCACAACCGCTACTTTCTTTATTCATTAAAGCTTCGATTTTAAGAGATGGGATTACCGCTCTCCATCAATCTCATCGAAACAGGCTAAAGACTGCCAATTTCACAGAGAGGCAGATTTCAAGATAGACAAGGGTATTGAAATGACCCAGAAAGCTGTCATGCGCCTAATGGAAAAATTTAGCTAGTTGGTGAGCTAATTTCCATCATTTTTCTATTTATTTGACGGGCATTTTTCAGCGCTGTATTACGATAATTCAAAAATCGTTTGTCAACAACATTTATTAGAAACGAACAATTCGGCACAAGTTTACTTTTTGCCAAACCAGGACGGCATCTGGAAGGAGGGGATTTGCATCTGTGGTGCTGGAGCCATCGGAGCGCCATCGACGATGAATTGGCCGACGTTGATGTCGAGGTCCAGGTCATCCAGTGACAGACCGCTGCCTCCGCCTCGGCCTCTGCCATTACCATTGCCAATGCCGTTTCCGTTTCGACCACCGTTTCGTCCACGATTTCCATTGCCGCGTCCTCTATCTCTTCCACCATCCGATGGCCAGCTCCTGGAAATTTGGCTTGTAGATCGTGTTTGAAAGGAAAAGGCAGCCAGGGAGCAAAACTATGGGATCTGTTGTTTCGACCAAACAGCTTTCACTCAAAGGTAAGCAAGATTTGGGCTGCTGCAGGTACATGCGTATCTTGGAGCCTCCCATACCCGTCTACGCCTAGCCTACGACAGGTGTCGGCTATGGCACTTTCCGGCCCCTTTAAAACCCGGCTGAACATCTACATCAAAGCCATTCAAACTTACTTGTCCTCCTCAGAACCATGGCTATGACCGTGACTATGGCCGTGGTCGTGGCTGTCGTCATGGCTATGACCATGGCTATGCGGTCGCTTCGTCGGTTTCTTCGTCGGAGCCTTCGTCGTCGGCTTTGGTGTCGGAGGATGCTCATCCTCATCGTCATCATTGTACGAAGCGAACGATGGGCATGGCGCGTCCCATTGACGGACCTAAACACACGATTAGAGCCTGGGAAAATGCGGAAAATCGAGCTCTACCACTTTTACGACCTACCACATTTTTGGCCAACGGTGTGCCAGTGATCGTCACGTTTTGAATCTCACCGCAGCACTAATAAAAAGTTGATAAAAATTCAAGTGAAGTCAACCTGGAAAAGCTTGACAGACGAGAGGGGAGTGGATTGTCCCTTGATATCAATCGTCGCTCCACCCCAGCGTGCATCTTTCCCAGAGTACTGGATTTGGACTCGGGTCGGGGTGATGAGTCTGTAGAGTAATTTTCAAGGTATCCAAAGCAGTCTACCGGATCGTGATCTCAAATTCGGCTCCCGGCGCGAAGGGGAGTTTGTGGTATTGATAGCCGGGCTGCCAGGGCTTCTGAAAATCGGGTTTAGACCGGAAATTTTTTCTGACGTGACCTATTACGCTGAAAACAGCTAAGGCGCTTGGAGTCTTTAAGGTGGCTTTCCTACCTGCCTCCCGAGCCGATGCGCATATGTGACCACCGGAATGGATGTATTCCGGAAGTTCCGGTGGTCAAAATGACCAAACACGTCGGTGACATAGCTAGCTTCTAGACCGCACGTCCATCTGGAGACAGCGACCTTGATTCTTTTGACAAAAGCTATACCTCTGCATGCGGTCCTGAATTTTGCCCTTGGCGGTGAAGACGTCACCGGCTTGTAGCGGACGCCTTAGACAGTGCCGCCAGTAGACTGGAAAAAAATCAGGAAATCTTTCTCTCTAGCCGTTTATGTCTCTCTCTCGCTCTCTCACTCTTTCTCTCTCTCTCGCTCTCTCACTCTCTCATTCTCACTTTCTCTCTCTCTCTCTCTCGTTCTCTCTCTCTCTCGCTCACACATCCTTGAACTGCCACTATGGTTAGTGAATTTCAGCGTTTCATTCAGTCCAAACTATAACTTACAGTCCTTCCCGGGACCACCGTATGCCAAACATAGTAATACCCCAAAAAGCGCTAGACGAATCCACATTCAGAGACGATAGTTTCCAAAGTGGGCCTGTTTGCAACTGGCAACATTTGTAGTGCACTCGGCTCTATAAAACCGTGAGAAACTGGCCCGGGAATCGCGAGCTAAACGACGTTCGCATGCTTTATGCTCTAGCGTTGCTGATCTCTTTCCGAAAAGCTGCCAATCAAAGTTCGGTGCACCGGCGAGGGCTAAAACACGTGGCGATACAGGGAGTTTTGCAGAACTGGGCAGGAGTTAGGTCTTTTCCTGATACCTTTAAAAGAAGGTTGTCAGAAACGGTTACGTTTTGAAAGGGTTGAAAAGGACTGGGCTCAGTATGAATTTACAACTCTACGCCACAAGCCAAAAACGCGCAACGCACACGCAAAGCGCAGATGACCCGCAGCCACGCACAGGCACCGCTTATGTCACGCACACGCATCGCATCGCAATGCATAAGCAACGCGCACGCAACGCCCCGCAACGCGCCCGCAATGTGCCCGCAACGTGCCCGCAGCGCACGCGCAACGCGCCCAAACCGCGCCAAAACGCGCCGAAAACGCGCCCGTTACGCAGACACACCGCAGACCTTCTATCCGGCCGCTAATTAGTGCATCGGGCGACTCTTTGCGAGCAGGCGTCAGTCGCGTTGCGTGTCGCGGCAAGGAGCTCTTTGGAATTTCAGGAAGCACTTTTCTCCCACCTTCTGCATCATATAGGGTGGGGACTTCCAAAACCAGAATAACAGAAGCGTGCCGTTGATTTACGACGCCACCTTCCCCACGAGTTATGGCAAAAATGGGAGTCGTTGGCAGGACGCACCGTATACAATTCATTTGGGCAGGATGTGGTCTCGATTGGACATTTTCTTCTTCGTTTTACTAGGTGTGGAGGCCGACTCAAGCAAGAAGTGTAGGTCTTGATAGACTTTATATGCTTACCATGGAAAATGCAAAATTTATATAGCAAGCTATCAAAAATCACCAAATCCATGAAAGGTGGCTTAAATACTGGTCATTTTTTAGGTCAATTTGTGGATTCCAGATTTTCACCGCTGCCTACAACAACCGCTTCAAGTCGGTGACACCTTCACAGCTAGTGGAGTGCTCAAGTCGAATGCCAAAACGTAGCCAATCTGTTTGGGCAGCAGCTTACCTTGTTTTTAGCTGGTCCTGCAGCCTGGATGGCGCTTTGTTTGGCAAGAATACATTCGCCGAGTTGAGCCATCGCCTAGATGATCCGGCATACACCCAATTTGCGTGGCGGCCAAAGAAGAAAGTGGTAATATTATATTTCCTCGTTCTAGCTAAACTGCACTCGAGGCGTGAAATTATGGTAAAGAATGCTAAAATGCTCCAAAAAACATGAAATATCAGACTAGCAAAGCCCTTTGTGGAAGATTTTGAAGAAAATGGAGCTATCTAGAAAGGCATAATTGTCTTTAACAAACAAATAAAAATTTCAGCAACCCTGTGAGGATGGCTGGACACTTGGAAATGGCACCGACAACTGCTACAAGGTACCAACTCCAAACTATTTCAAAATCGGCGATTAGTTTCTACCAAGCCCCATTCAATTCACAGAAGCCGCCTTTGGATGTGAAGCACTCGGGGCAAAAATGGCCACCATTCATAGCGCTGCAGAAAATGCGTTTGTCATTGGTAAGGAATGGAGCTATACACATAGAGAGAGAGAGAGAGAGAGAGAGAGAGACAGAAAAAGAAATAAATTAACTTTCAAAGGGCGTTAAAAGGCGTTCGAAAGGGATTAATCTATTTTTTAGGTATGGGCTCGCCGGAAGTGTTTGGCGCTCGATCCAACTTGCTATGGTTGGGTTCCGCAAGGGTACAATTCACGCCTTACTATTACGCGGGAAATAGCTAAAATGCTGACGGACGAAATGCCGACATCCCAAATGCCGACAAGCTAAAACTGTATAACTTGCAGTACTCTTCATATTCGTCAAAACCCTGTTCAATTCCAAAAGTCGCTCAGATTGTTGGTCATTATGGTCATGACTTTTGGAATTTTAGCTATCGGAAATTTAGTTGTCGGCATTATTACCAGAAGCTTTCGTTATTCCCGCTCAGATGTTTGATTTAAGACAGATCCATCAAAATATGGCTTCGCCTGGGTCGACAAATCGAAGATGAACTATGTGAATTGGGACGATCAATACATGGACAACACGGGCGGCATCGAGTCTTGCCTGATTGTAGGGAATTAAAGTGATGGCGCCAGCCAGATTTTTTGCTCCAGATGCACCCAAGTGGACGCTGGAATGACGCAAGGTGCACGGATCCCTTCCGGGCGATTTGCCAAAAAGACATGGTTAGGGGTCGCCTATTCGATTATGATAGGTATTCAGAACCGTAGTGCCAAGCTGGTAGACAAGAATCCGTATAAAGCCGGGAGTCGATTCAATATGACGATAACGTGGGTTTTTGAGGTAACAGGTCCTCTAAAGATTTCGATACGCTACCATAAGTATGCCAACAGTAGTTAGTTTTCATCTATTCTTAGCGTTTCCGGGCCGAATCAAGTTACTGTGGCCTACGGTAGCGGAGCGTCATGGAGTGGAAAAACCTGGAAACAGGCCGGCCAACTTGCTAGCATGACGGCTGTTAGAAAATTTGAGGTATGGTGGGCATTGGTTATATATGGGTCGAAGCCCGGGGGCGCCGCCAAAGGCGCCTCCGAGGGGGGGGGGCGTGCCGAGTGGCGCCTGGGGGCGCCGCCCCTATGATTTTTAACGGGGCGGGGGGCGTCACCAACGGCGCCTGTGAGATTATGCAAATCTTCGATTCTAATGTTAATTATTCATTTCAAGCGCAAGAGCAACGGACAGTAGAGAGTAACCTGCAAATTACTTTTCTCTTGCACTTCGGGAAAGCCTAGTATCGCAATGGTCAGCCTTTTTTGGTAATGTTTTAGTAAAATTGAACTAACTTTAAGTGGAAAAATAAAAAAAATTGGAAGGAATTTTAGATGGAATTTTCGAAATTGAAAGTGAGATTGGAAAATCGGGCATTTTTGGCAGTAAAATCTATATTTTTTTTGTATTTCAGTCGCAGTTGGTAAAGTTTTTACGTTTAAGAAGAATAACAACAGTTTCGAAAACTTCCACTATTTCTTTTAGAAAACAAGGTCCTTATAAAAAAGTTGGTCCCCCATAAACATCCCCTTCCTCTACAATGCGAAAGGATCAGGGAAAAATTATAGGCCAATCAACTAATAGTTTTTGCTTTCTTTGATATTAAGGATCAGCAGTCAAATCTCATTTCCATAATAACACCGCATTTTTGCTTTGCATCTCGGTTTTCCGGCGCCTTTTGGTCAGCCCCAGGCGCCGCCACAGGCGCCACTCGGCACGCCCCCAGGGGGTGCCTCGGGAGGCGCCTCTGGCGGCGCCCCCCGGGCTTCGACCCATATATAGCATTGGTGTATTTCTCATCCTCTATCTCTCTATCACTCTATCTCTCTCTCTCTCTCTCCTTCTCCCTCTCTCTCACCCTCTCTCTATCGCTCTCTCTCGCTCTCGCTATCACTAGACAACTGCGTTTTACAGTGCTACGGACAGCTCCAGAGCGTGGCGCTCACCGGTTCGAATATAGTCGGGAATACGGTAAGTCAGTCCAAAGCCTTAAAATCCAGCTCTGCGTTTTTGCAGTTTTCTCTGACCTTGGGGCTAACTCAGCTAACTTAACGTATCCTTAATAGCAAGTATTTTAGGCAACAAATTACGAAGACGTCTGTCCTCTCTTTGGAAGCGAAATCAACAAACAGTTTGGCAGAGATGGAAAGGATCAGAAAAACGGGTAAGTCAAGCAGCGCACCGAGCTTCTTAGACGCTTTTTGTGAGTTAGCTGAAAACTGAGCTTCTTTCAGTTCAACTGACAAAGGACAATGGTCTGGTGATGGTAGCGGAAAAACCCTGAGCAAAGGCGATATGGAGGAATTGGCAAAACTGCTGGCTAAGAATCTAGAAATTGATGTGACGGTGAACCAAACGGTCATCCAGGGAGGGGCACCAGACTTGCCTCCTCTATGAGTTTTATTTGTCAACGATAAAGAATTTACTGGTGAAGACAAAGAAAACAGCACTCGAAATTATTTCAAAAACTAGAAAACTTCAAAAAGCATCCAGACATTGTAGAATTTAGTTAAGTCCATAGTACTGACCAAAATTCCGTGGAATGTTACGTTTTTATGCTTTTTCCATTAGGTTTCATGTTTGCACTTCCTTTTGGGTGTGGTCAGAGACCGGCGGCAGACATCTACTCTGCGTAAGGTTTCTCAATGATTTTTATGTCGTTATCTCCCTTACATTTCCTCTCTCTCGCTCTCTCTCTCTCTCTAGCTCTCGCTCTCCCTCTCTCTCTTTTTCCCCTCTCTCTCTCCCTCTCCCCTCTCTCACATGCACTCTTTTTCTCTCGTTCTCTGTTTCTCTATCTTTCTCATTCTCACTCTCTCACAAACTCTTTTCCACTCTTGCTTTGGCTCTTTCGCCCTCAGTCTTTTTCTTTCTCCCTCTCTCGCTCTCTCTCCCTCTCTCACTATCTCTCTTTCTCGCTATCTCTCTCCCCCCTCACTCTCTCTGTCTCTCTCTCCCTCTCTCTCCTCGCTCTCCCTCCCTCTCTCCCTCTCTCCCCTTCTCCCTCTCTCTCGAGACGTGACATAAATTTCGCATCAGCAATTAACATCCCAAAATTTCAACAATTTAGCATCTCATTTCCGGTGCAAAACCATGCCGCTCAGAAATCTTCAATCGTCATTTCCTATGTTTCTACCCACCCAGATTCTTTTGTGGTCTAATAAGTTAAGGTAGTCAAATTTCGTTTTATGCAAATTTTTCTTGTTCAGATGGCAGCCGGCCGGATCGACAAGTACTTAAATTTGGGGCGCTACGCGCTGCTTGTGTGTGTAACTTGTGAGGTATCGCATTTAAGTCGGGCTACAATTTCTTTTTTTAGCTAATCTTTCTTATGCAAGCCGGCAATTTTCTCTTCATGGCATTTGGAGGTGAGCAACATGTTGGAGGCGTTCAGTCACAAAAATTTTAGGCGAACCTCCCCACATCGTGGGCTGCCACTACCGCAACGGCACGAAGGTGATGATGGCCGAGGAGGAGATGGTGTGCCGCGAGATGCGCACCGGTCAGTGCAAGCCGATCCTCGACTACTCGTTCAACTCGATCAACGTGGAGGTATCGGATGGTAGTTTAAAGAGACTGTGCGAGATGGTGCTAATGAATAATACAACGCTCAACGAGTTCAAGCAGTACAGCCCGGTGCCGCCTCGACTTTTATCGAGCGTTTTTCAAAGCGGAAATTGGCTTTAAAGGGATCGCAACATCTCCCAAATTATCAAGCGCTTTTCATTCCAGTTCGACTTCCTGTGCCCGGAGAACGCGAAGGTGATCAAGGACAGCACCTCGCTGCAGCTGCTCGGCAACCTGATCGGCGCCCTCATCTTCGGGCCCGTCTCGGATCGGTGGGGCCGGAAATGGGTAGGAGATTTGTGTTTCCCGTTCAAGTGCATCTAGACAATGCTCGCCTGCGTGTTCTTCTCCGGGGTGTTCGGCTTCGCGTCGTCGTACGCGCCGGGATACTGGTCGTTCACGGTGCTACGCGCCTTCACCATCTTCTTCAACGTCGGGCATCAAGTGTGGGTGCAGCTAGTTTAGCGAGTTCATTTCTTTTGCATTATCGGGGGGTCCGCCCGCTTCACAGTCCCTTTAAACCCCGTTTTTTCAGGATCATCACGGTGTTCATGTGCGAGACGTTGCCGGCGAAGCACCGCATGTGGCTGAACTTCATCCTCAACTGGTCCCCCAACATCATCATCGTCACGGCGATGGCGTGGACCGTCCAGGATTGGCGGTGGCTGCAGCGCTCCCTTGGTCTCCTCGGAATCCCGATCAGTATCATGATGTAGTGGGTGGCTTCACTGGTATTCTACCAACAACATGTCAATTTTCGGACTATCCTGTCCTTTCTAGCTTCTGCAAAGAGCCGGTCTACTGGCTGGTCCGCCAGGGGCGCCTCGATGACGCGATGAAGGTCGTCGAGGAGACAACGAAGATGGACGGCATCGAGTTCGACCCGGTCCCGTTGCGCAAGCTGTTCGAGGAGGAGCGCGAGGCGTGCAAGGTTTGATCATCGACAGCAGGTTGAACCTCTTGAACTCCTTGCAGCGCACCGCCGGCAAGAGCTACTTCTACCAGCACCTCTTCTACACGTGGACCCTCGTCTCCTACTCGGCGACGATGTACTTCAGCTAGTGGGTGTACTAATGCTCCCCCGCTAACAAACCAGAACCTTCTTACCTTGTCAATCCTTTTAAAGCAACGTTACGTCCGTATTTCCCATGTCAACGACCTCTTTCCAGCATCTGCGTCGGCGCCGTCACGTACGGCCTGTTCTTCAACCTCGAGAAGCTCTCCGGGACCATCTACGAAAAGATGGTGATGCTCTCCATCTGCCGCACCGTGCTCAACATGACGCTCGCCGCGCTCGACTACAAGATCGAGTGCCTCGGACGCCTTGTAGGACTACACGCCTGGACTACAAACTAAACATATCCCCTTCAGAAAGCGCACTATATGTTCGCCGTGTACGTCGTGTTCGGGCTGGGCTGCGTAGTGGTGATGCAGTACACGGGGCTCGACCGCGAGTTCGACGACGTCGTCAAGTACCTCGCCCTGACCGCCATTTCTGTGGCTGCGATGGTTGGTGATGATCCTGAACTCCTTGAACTTGTTGGAAATCTCGAAATTCAGAAACTTGAAGTTTTGACATCATGATGGCATACCTTTCAGATTCTGCTGACGAACCAGGTGGTCGTCTCCGAGATCTACCCGACCCCCATCCGCAACAAGGCGTTTGCCGTCGCCCAGATGAGCAACAACACCGGCTCCGTCATCGGCGTGCAGCTCTTCAAATTGGTGAGAAAATTCTGGCGTCATGATCAAGCCGTTCAGACCGAAGTCCACCGCGCCATCCCGTTCGGCGTGCTGATGGTGATGGTGGCGATGGAGACGCTGCTGTGCTCGCGCTTCATCCCCGAATCGAAGAACAAGCCCCTCGTCGAGCACATGCCCGGCGCCGACGAGTCGTTTTGGACGTGCTGCAACAAGGGGGAGAAGGACAGGAGGAAGAGGGAGAGAACTGTAAGTAAATTTAAGGACCGCTATGGCTTTGCGCGGATTTTGAGGGGACAGATAAGTCGGTTCTGATCTGTTAGCGGGGGTGAACAATCAATTTTTGGGTTTTACACTTATATTTGATAATCAATAATGTAGTTTTAAAACGTTTTGAGTTGGTTTTGCTTGCTAAAAATTTATAAAGCATGCTTTTAAAAATTTTTACGTATTTTGGTCATTTTTCATACATTTTGACTCCAAAATCGATAATTTTCGAACTACGTATTTTGTTTTGACATTGGTTTTGTATAAATAAACTATGTAAAATATGGTAAAAATGGTTTTTGTATTTTGTTATAGGGCCGTAAAGAATCACAAGGAAAAATTTGATCCCCCCGCTAACATTCCAAAACCAACTTGCCATCCATGGCCCTTTAATGCCTAGAAGCCAGTCGAGCTACATTAATGGATACTTCTTCCGTTTCGGCCAGCAAATTATTGCGTGTTTTTTCCAGAACTCGTCCACCGCCACCAACTCGACCGAAGAATCGCAAAAGTCCAGTGAGGCGGACTGCTCGGTGTCGGTCTCGATGGTCTCGGCGTACCAGGCATCCGCTTCCGACTCATCCAAATCCGACTAAACGCGCCACTAAACCATCCATTCCATTCGATAATCGCCTGTCATTTCCCGTTAGGATTCGATGCATAAAGATTTTGTCTTGCGAGCGCTACGTTTTGTAGACGGAGGGAGAGAAAGAAAGAGAGAGAGAGAGAGAGAGAGAGAGAGAGAGAGAGAGAGAGAGAGCAAAAGAGAACGGGAGACGGAGAGAGAGACAAAGAGAGAGCGAGAGGAGAGTGAGAGAGAAGGGGAGATATAGAGAGAGCGAGAGAGATATAGAGAGAAACAGAGAGAGCGAGAGAGAGCGAGAGAGAGAAGAGAGAGAGAGAGAGAGAGAGAGAGAGGAGAGTGAGAGAGAAAATGGGAGAGACAGAGGGAGTGAGTAAGTGAGTGAGTGAGTGAGTGAGAGAGAGAAAGGGAGAGAGAGAGAGAGAGAGGAGAGAGAGAGGAAGGGACAATCCTGAAATCCTTATCCTGAAAGCAACTGTTTGTTCTCTGGGCTGTTTGCAGGGCAGGGATTTTCTGTAAGGGGGAAACGACTTTTTGCAAAGGTCCCGTTCCGTATTTGTAACTTTTTGGTCAAAAATGTTTGAATAGTGCCCAAAAAGCTCAAAATACCAAGTGATTTTGGCTGTGTTCTCCAACGGAAAATAATGGCCAAAAATTTATCGGGGAAAAATCGGCATGAAGTAAGAGAATCGAGTTTACAGTCAAATCAGCAAAGGAGCGACATTTAGGCACTGGCGACTCTTCATCCAATTCGCTTTTACTCCTCAATGGCCCTTAAAATTTCGAATAATATTGCTGCACCGGCATAGCTCACACACAGCTTCTTCCCATCCTGACGTGTATATTTATTATATCCTCGCCCCAAGTGAAACATTATCGGCAACTCGGTGCCGCGCGCCACTATCATCCCCCATGTGATTTCCCGGATCCCGGCCATCCACTCCGCTGTAATCATCTCCCGGAATTGTTCGATTTTATCAACGTCCTTCGCCAGAAACTCGAAGATGAACCAAGTTGTTCGCAGCGTGATCGCAATGGCTAGCTCGTACACATAGCAATGAAGCCCAACAACGCGATCTTTGATGAATCGCATTAATTCTGGGGTCAGTTGAAGTTGAAATAGGGATGCCAAATGAAATTTCCCATCGACCACCTTAACTAAAAGAGGGTCGTGATCCAACTCAAACGCGTGAGACTCTTTTAGAAGAAGTGCTGAGTGCTTCGGTAAGTACGAGATCGCAGCAGAGTCCCGCCACTGGCTAGGCAGCGGAACATACCGGCCAAAGCCCTCCTTAGCGACGTTGTAATATATGGACACTCCGCCATGAGACGACGCGACGATCTCATAAGATGTTCGATTAGCCGGTGATCGTTCGGTCATCTCCCATAGGTATCGACAGGTTCGGGAGTAGCGGAAACGCGTGAACGGGTCCATCTCGCTGATGAATTCCAGGAGGCACTGATGAAATGGGAAGGGCAGATCCAACAGTTCCACTGGCGAGGGCATACCTGAAAATTATAACGTATTTAATTGAGCCTGAAAACGTTTAAATTATTTGCCGAAAAGAGAGATCGAAAAGGGAACGCGGTTCATCTGCATTATCGGGGGGATTAGCTAGAAATGTTTGATAGGCACAACTTATTTGCTGTTTTACTATATTGCAACTATAACAACAATTTAATGACTCTATAAGTCGAAGAATCCATATTCTTCGTAGTCTTTTTAATAGAACCTTATAAAATTTGGATGCTTAAGAATACTAAAAACGGCTTAGAAAGGCGCCGGTATTTAGATTTGAAAAATTCGCCCTAAGAGCCTTAAAAGTTGTCGCTCCGATAATGCGAAAGAACCGGGAAACGGTAAGCAAGTACAAAAACCTGGTTATATGCTGTCAAGAATGCGGGCTTTTGGAAAAAAACCCCGGATGGGCCTGGGTAAGTATCACCGAAAAAGTGCGGGGCAGCCAGGCGGGCAAAGCATCTGCTTCCCCTACCGCAACCCCAGACGGCAAGCGTAATTTCCATACCGATTATTGGCAAAGGGGGGGATTTCGTGTCTCCGTGCTTCAAATTCCCTAGCTTCAAATGCGGAAAGAAGTCTGATGATAGCAAACGAAGAAGAAGATCCGGTAGAAAAAGAAGAAAAAATTCGTGAATGATCACATTCTGAAGCCAGCCATGAATCTAAATTTCTGGCATCCACACCGAGTTTAAAGGGCTGCCGACGGCATGTGTCGATCCCCCCTCATCAACAAATTGGCAAGTAGCCAACAGGGCAGAGAGCGCGTCCAGGGGAGAGGCGCCGAGACATTTTCTTTCCAGCGCGTAACCGATTGATTATGCCGTCGGCATCCCTTTAATCATGCGCTTTCTCAACTTTCAAGACTGTCATTATTTTTCTGGCGTTCCACTTGGCCTAGTAATCGAATATAAAGTGTTTTTATATTGTTTGAAGCCCGTATTATAACTAAATTAGAAAAGCAAAGTCGAAAGTTTGGTCATTTGTGTCGAAAAATTGATTCGTCGACCTAATATAAATTTTTGATGAAAAATCGTGCCGAGAAGTTCCCCCACCCTGGAACCTTTGCCACCCCGAGAAGCACAAAAGGCCGACAACGATGATTTCGGGTGCTTCCTGGTACCGTATGATCTGTGGAATTATTATTGTGCATGGTTGATGTGGACACACAGAGAGCACAAAGCAAGAGAAACTCGAAAGGATTTGTTCAAAATTTCAAGCTCTATCGAACGAGCTAAGACACATCGCGAAATTTCAAGATCACCCAAAAACGACTCCTTGTACGAGGGATATTTTTATGCATGGTATCTGTAGATCAAATACCTAAAGCTTTTTGTTTTATTCTGAAACAGAAACATAAGATCAAAAAATCTATCGGGACAAAATTAGCTGCTGTTGACATTTTTTCATTTACTCTTCGACGCTTTTTGGGCTTTCGAAGAATACCGCGCCGCCATAGTTCACATGCAGCTTCTTCCCAGCCTGCCGTGTATATTCATTATGGTCACGCCCCAGGTGGAACATTGGCGGCAACGTGGCGCCGCGCGCCAGTATCATCCCCCACGTGATTTCCCGAATCCCAGCCATCCACTCCGCTGTAATCATCTCCCGGAATTGTTCAACTTTATCAACATCCTCATCCCGAAACTCGTAGATAAACCAACTTTTTCGAATCGTGATCGCAATGGCTAACTCGTCCACATAGAATTGGATCCCCGCCGCGCGATCTTTCATGAAACGCATCAATTCTGGGGTCAGTTGAAGTTGATATAGAAATGCCCAATGAAATTTCCCGTCTACCATCATAAGAGGGTAGTGGCCCGGATCGAAGCGGTCAGACTCATCTAGGAAAAGCGCGGAATGCTTCGGTAAGTACGAGATCGAGGCCGGTTCCCGCCACTGGCTGGGCAACGGAACATACCGGCCAAAGCTCTCCTTGGCGACGTTGTAATATATAGACACTCCGTCATTGGTTGCGACGATCTTATAGGATGTTCGATTAGCCGGTGATTGTTCGGTCATCTCCCATAGGTATCGACAGGTTCGGGAGTAGCGGAAACGCGTGAACGGGTCCATCTCGCTGATGAATTCCAGGAGACGCTGACGAAATGGGAAGGGGAGGCCAACGAAATTCGGGAATGAGGGCATACCTGAAAATTACAATGTATCTTTATTTAGTTATGCAAAGTCTACAATATTTGCCGAAAATTAAGGTCGAGTAAAGACGTTAAGAGTGGAGGGACAAAAAGCTGGCTAAAGGCTTCCAAAATGCTGGAAATTTGAAAAAAAAAAGCCATTGGGGGACGGGCAAGTATCACCGAGAAAACCGCGGGGCAGCCTGGTCGGGCAAAGCATCTGCTTCCCTCTACCGCAACATCAGACGCCACGCGTCATTTCCATATCGATTTTTGACAAGAGTTCGCGAATTTCGTGTCTGCGTGTTTCAAATGTCCTGCGTTAAAGGCGCAACGAAATCTTACAAGTTGAGAGCCTTACAAGAAACCCCCTTACAAGTTGTTAGCGTTTTTTTAAATTGAATTTGAAATTTTCAAGCGTTTTCTCATCCAAACAGGGGTAAAAGATCATGCGGCGCGATCGCGTTGCGGCTGGATCTGGCTATTTACCAGGAATCAACGGAACCGTGGACCAGATTTCGGAGCCTCTTTAAAGGATCAACAACGATAATTTTGAGTGATTTTTGGTACCGTATTGTCCGTGAAATATTTATTGTGCAAGTTTGGTGTAGATGTGACCCACAGAGAGTACCAAGCAAGAACTCTAGAGTAGATGGGGAATGAGCTAGAGAGCAACTGCAGCTGGGTTCTCATTTTCCTCGATACGGTACAGGCCAGAATTTTCCCAGCAAATTAGCTTCTTTCCATCATTTCGAACGTATTCGGTACGACTCGGCTTCATACCGGCTTTGGCGGCCGGCACCGTGATAAAGATCATTCCAAACTTGATGCTCCGGATTCCGGCCTTCCACTCGTCCAGGATCTTCTCCACAAATCGCTGAATCTCTTTCGGCTCGCCCTCCACAAATTCAAACAAAAACCTCGGGCTTCTCAACCCGATCGCCACTTCCGGGTTGTCGACGCGGTGCTGTACATACATGGCATGCTCATTGATGAATCGGATCAATTGCAGCGTCAGTGTCTGGTTGTTGTCCAAAAACACGTCACGAAATTTTCCATCTACCGGTTTAACAGCATTTCTCGCGACCTGGACTCCCAAGTTATCTGGGTCCGAATAGAACAGGTACGACGTTTTCGGCAAGTACGACAGCGTCTCCGCGTCCTCGATTTCGATGGGCCAGGGAATCGGCGTGAGATGCGGCCAGCAGAAGCCGGGTGGGAAGATAAACAGCATTCCGTCCATCACGATAACATCATATTCAGTTGAACAGTTCGGAGTCCTCTTCGACATCCACCACGTAAAACGGCAGGCACGAGAATAGCGAATTTGGGTCAACGCGTCCATTGCACAGATGA